TATGTTAAAGTATAGAAGTTACGATCACTTAGCGCTGGGATGATCGCAAGCCTATGTTAAAGTATAGGAGTTACGATCACTTAGCGCTGGGATGATCGCAAGCTTATGTTAAAGTATAGGAGTTACGATCACTTAGCGCTGGGATGTTCGCAAGCCTATGTTAAAGTATAGGAGTTACGATCACTTAGCGCTGGGATGATCGCAAGCCTATGTTAAAGTATCGGAGTTACGATCACTTAGCGCTAAGATGATCGCAAGCCTATGTTAAAGTATAGGAGTAACGATCACTTAGCGCTAAGATGATCGCAAGCCTATGTTAAAGTATAGGAGTTACGATCACTTAGCGCTAAGATCCCTTTGTACAACCACACCCTGGTCTCATCACTGGTTAACTTTATGCCTTTGGGCCTATATTTTCTGTACATTATTTTAGAAATAGTCTCTCATAACTCAGGAAAGAGCGGCTCAGCACAACTCTAACAGCTTCATTGTTTAGCCTGATATTTATATCAGTTGTAATGAGGTGAGGCTTTAATAAACTTTTTCTCTGCTTACCCATTTCGCGAACACCTCGAGTCTTTGTAGTAAATGGATGAGTGCAGTGCGTCTATCCATGTGGTCCACGAAGAACGGAAACAAAGTGAGTGAGTGAGTTTGGTTTTACGCCGCTTTGATCAATATTCCAGCAATATCACGGCGGGGGACACCAGAAATTGGCTTCACACATTGTACCACGGAAACAAAGAAATCTTTAGAAACTCCTCAGAAATTGTGATGTTATTGTCATGTGAACCAATTTTTTTATTTACATTGGATATGCATATCTCTGTTGTTCGAGGGCGTAATGAATTTTCGATGACGCAGAGCAAATTATTGCCAACCTTTCATCCTAAACTGATCAAAGGCCGGAAGTCCTTGAAAGATCCAGTCCAGACTGGACGCTGCATTTAGAGACGTGTGTCAAGGTGCCTCTGCAGAGAATCTTGGCTGCTAGATTGATTAGCTTTAGGTTTGAGGTCAAACTAAGTGATGTTTGAATGACTTTAATCCAGTCTACTGGGAGTGTCAATGACCCGAGCCCAGCGACCCTTAAAAGTGCGATTTCTTACTTCGTTTTAGCAAACCAATGTATGGGTTCGCGGTGATATATATTTGTGTGACATGTTCCAGGTCTCTAATGAAGCACACTGATGGCGGATGTCTTGTCTTTAACACACGTGGGCTCGACTTCCTACCCTGTCGTCGCTGTACCATCACCTGTGAGGAAGTGAAGAGTGGACGCTTTAACCACAAGGCTACCCCGCCGCCCTGACTATTGAAGTACATGTACTAGGTGGAGTTAACTTTCTTGACTGTAGGTAATCTGTATAATTGTGTCTGATTGAATTATATCATTTTGTAACGTTGACATTCATTGTAAATTAGTCTGAAGGTGTACAGTTGTCTCATTGGCCGGGCATCGCTTTCAACAGTGTGATTACATTATGTATTGTTATCAATGCAAATGATGTGATATGCGACACTTTAGTCATTGTTCTGGCTCTATCTCTTCAAGCTTGACCCGATGTTGTCTTGATGCCACACAGGGAGCGATTTGGCACCGTCTTCGTATAAGCGTCATGCTTGTATTAATGACCGCGATGTATTTCTGAAGGTGCGTTGACACGGCGAATGTTCGAGACAGACTGAACTGGTGACTTTTGTTGTTCATGATATTTAGAATTTTGAGGTTCGCCTCTCGCAGACATAAAATTAATCAAATGTGGGTGTAGGGCAACTGCTGAACTCGTTCCGAAATCTGTTTTTGACGGAGTACTGTATTAATCCCCAACTCTGAGAACAGTAAAAAATAAATTCTAAAATAAAATAATAAAAAAATAAAAATAATCTAAAAAACAACAACAAAAAAACAACCTGCTGAACTCTTGACTTTTGCTGTTCGTGAATTTAAAACACGCTTCCGAGGTTTTGGTTGAAAATGTAAAACCGCTAGCGAGGGAAAAGCCCGAGAACCGTCTAAATGCAAGAAATACCAGAAAAAAAAAGAAAACATCGAGATACATTGTAGTGACGTGTAAAGGTGAACAAGTTTTCAGTTGCTCAGTGGGAAAACCGTGGATTGCAGTTTCGATTCACGTCAGCGCATTTCCATGCGATATAAACTGTGACGTTCAACCAATCAAAAATGAATATTGTGTTCATATGAAGAGGACAGTTAACAAAACGTCTGGCGTAGGAATTACCATTGAAATGTAAAACCGCAAAGCAGGTTTAGAGGTTACCCATTTCAAAACCTAGTTTGGAAGAGAACCGCTTCATAACCTAGGTTTGGAAGATGAGCTGGTGACTAGGTTTACCCGAGGTTGTCAGGAAGCTATTGCAACAAAGGGTAACACGGTGATAGGTTCATAACCTGGGAGAAACGTCAACCGAGGGTATAAATAACTATAAATAACCTTTCAATATTTCTCTAAGCAGTGTGAGATTAACTGGTTTATGCCTTCACATTTTGAGCACTGGGCTTTCGTTTTGTTTCAAGGGAAAAGCTGTCAACACTGTTTGTATAAATGCTCTCGGAGGATTTGTACAAATACCAATCTTTTCTGCATTTTGCGTTTGCCTCAAATAGGTCAGGTGCCCATTACGAATTAAGATCGTTTGCATCACCGTTTTCCTCGTCAGTTTTGTCAACAACATAATATGTCGGACACGTTAAACATTAGTCGAAGAACGGGAGAGACAACGAGGAACTGGTTTACTTGTTATAACAACATACCAAGGAGTCGATACAAGTACTACAGTCATATAGAGACTCCCTGATTTGTGTGTTTTCTTGTTGTTAAACGCCGTACTCAGCAATATTCCAGCTATATCACGGCGAGCTGTTAGTAACCGAGTCTGGACCGGACAACCCAGTGATTGACATAATGAGCATCGATCAACGCAACTGGGGTTTTCGGGGAGTCGGTGAGCCTGATCACCTGATCCCGTTAGTCGCCTGTTACAAGCATGTTGCATAGTCGCCAAACCGGATCTTCCTGGGTCTCTCTATTATTGGGGTGAGGTGAAGCTGAAATGGGGTTTAACATATCAAAGATTTTTGCACTTATATAGCGACGTGCATCCACGTCTGTGTGTGTGTGGCTGCTTGTACTAGTCCGGATTCATGCCGATTTATAGTGCTAGCTCACTGAGATACCATGCCGCAGTTTAACATGAATACCCCACTCAAACACAGTATACTGACTCCGAGCCGACCAGTCCTTGTTTTAACCCCATTAATGCCTTGCGCCAGACAGGGTAACAACAAGTACCATCTTTTTACATCTCAATTAGTGGGGATTGTGGAGTGAAATCTGTGGGGCAAGTGACACTCAAGTACAAGTACATGAAACACTGCCTGCATACAAGCCATCCTGTAGGAGAAAACACAAATAAGGTGAGGTGAAATTGGGTTTAAGTGGCGTCCAAGATTATTGCACTTATACAGCGACATGCATGCACGTGTGTGTGTGGCTGCTTGTACTAGTCCGAACTGATGCCAATTTATAGTGCTAGCACACTGAGATACCATGCCGCAGTTTAACATGAATACCCCACTCAGACACAGTATACTGACTCCGAGCCGACCAGTCCTTGTTTTAGCCCTTTTATGCCGAGCGCCAGACTGGGCAACAACAAGTACCATCTTTTAACGTCTTTTGGTATGACGCGGCCGGGGATCGAACCCTGGACCTTCCGCTCTCCGGGCAGGATCAGTAAAGCATACCATTTGAATACAATGCAAAACAAATCACAAAGTAAAAGGAAACAAACAATTGTATTACATTGTTTCAATTAATAACAGACCCTGAAGATTCAGGGTAAAATAGGTCTTCAGCAAACCATTCTTGCAGTAAAAGGTGACGACGCTTGTCGTAAGAGGCCTCTTACGGATCGGGTGGTCAAGCTCGCTGACTTGGTTGATGCATGTCACCTTATTCTAATTGTGTGGATCTATGCTCATGCTGTCAATCACTGGATTGTCTGGCCCAGACTCGATTATTTACAGACCGCCGTCATTTAGCTGGAATATTGCTGTGTGCGGCGTTAAACCACAAAGAAAACAAACAATTAATAACATAAAAATATGATTTATACTACTGTCATACAGCTACTTTTACGTGTAAACGTTTAAAAATGTGCATGATCGGAATGATGGGAGCGGCAGTGGCATGGTGTGGGGTGGTATCACACATGACAGGCGAACTCCTTTGGTTATTGTGAATGGACATTTGTCTGGCCAGTGATATGTTGACAACATCTTGTGTCCAGTCTTTCTTTCATTCCCTAAAAGTATGCCAGAAATGTCGACTTGCATTGACCACGACTTGCCCGGGACGTCATCACTTACCTGGGACCAGAAGGCACAGAGACAATGGAATAGCGCATCTGTGGGATGGACCCCTGAAGATCCGGGGTAGAATGGGTTTCAGCAACCCATGCTTGTCGTAAAAGGCAACTATTCTTGTAAGAGGCGACTATTCTTGTAAGAGGCGACTAATGGGATCGGGTTGTCAGGCTGCAGACTTGGTTGATGTATGTCATCATATCCCAATTGCGTAGATCAATGCTCATGATGTCAATCACTGGATTGTCTGGTCAAGACTTGATTATTTACAGACCGCCGTCATATAGCTGGAATATTGCTGAGTGCAGCGTTAAACAACAAACAAACAAACAATAAAATCTGTCGTATGTTTTTGGGCGGAGAGTGTACCCCAGGGACCCATCACCTGCCAACGTGGCCCACCTTGGAGTATCTCTTCAGGCAGAAAGGCGTACAATACCAAGGGCAACCATCGCAAGTTAATGAACTTTATGCCATTAAGGTGAGGTACATGTATGGCCCAACATGGTGGACACACCTGATATAGATCGACACGCCCCAAAGTGACCTTCACTGTCATTTCCTCAGTTCCGCTACTTCCTGTCCGTAGTATATATGCAGAGAATCTCACTCTTGTGCTACATTTAATATCAAATATATCTACATGGTTTGACAGAAGTTTAAAACTTGGAGGCTTGTTGAGGAGTCCTAAACTTTTATTGATAAGTGTTGTAAATACATACATGTGTCATAAGTGATATAGGTAAATATTGACCCCTTTTTGGATATAAAATAATATGCACATTTGAAAAAAGGAATACCGACACCAAACTACAAAAATTACTGATGAACAAATTCTGTACGTACTACAGAAGCAACTACAACAGCTTAACATCTAAATATTCTGGTACTGTACACTAACAAACAACTTGGTGTGTGTGTGTGTGTGTGTGTGTGTGTGTGTGTGTGTGATTGGTGTCTTTCTGAGTGAGTTGAGTGAGTGAGTAATTATTTTTATTATGTTCAGAATAAAAAATAAAAAAATGCAGCAAGGATGGATTGAGTTATCTTGGGATAGACTCAATATTTGTCCTAGCCCCCTCTACACACAGCTTAGACACCTCAGACAGCAGGCTCTACTAGTTATAATAACAACAGTGTAAAGACCTCTTAAAGTCATGTAACAAAAACAAAAATCACAGCCTTGTCACTATTTACAGGGTCCTAAGAGTCGGGACGATCGATAATCAAGATGTATATTGTAATAAAAAATATCTTTATAATTCCAGCGTAGTTCAGCAAGCATGGAAACAGTACTTTAAACACGTACTAGTTTACTCCTTTGCCTCGTTAAGGTGAAAATGTAATAATAATAGTAAGGTCTCCCGTTCATAAGGAGCACACATTCAAGGCCAATACGCTTTTGCTGACCCATTGATCTTGCCCCGACAGATGGGGCACTCGGACAGCGTTGTCGCACACTTGCTGCAGCAGGTGAGGTGGCCGCAGGGCAGGAAGATGATGCTGATCTCATTCTCCAGACACACTTTACACAGCCGCTGCTCCTTCAGCTCCCGGTTCTCGGTCAGCAACGCTTGTACATCTGCGGACCAATCAACGGATGCTGTGATCATAGCCGACTTCACCCAAGACATTGTTCATAAGATTATTACAGCAAAGATTACAGTAATGTTATCAGTTTGTTCTATTAAAGATGACCCGTGAAGGTCTTCAGCAACCCATTCTTGCCGTAAAAGGCGACCATGCTTGTCGCAGGAGGCGACTAATGGGATAGGGTGGTCAGTCGTGCTGACTTGGTTGATGCATGTCATCGTATTCCAATCGCATCAATATTCATGATGTCAAGTATTAGATTTTCTGGATCAGACTCGATTATTTACAGACCGCCATCCTATAGCTGGAATGTTGCAGAGTGCAGCCATAAACAACAGACAAACAAACGAAGTGTAAAGCTACAACTCATGACAATAGCAGGCAACAGATCTAAACCCGTACAAACATCATTTCTGAATGAAGCATGTTATCAACTGGTGTTTCAGTACACCTTCATGTATAGAGCTCCTTACCATCACTGCTTTGTGAGTGTCCATTCTGAAGCACAACCTCCCTGCCCTGTGTCTGGGACTTCTCCTCGATCTTCTCCCATATGGCTTCAGCTGATGGGATTGTACTTACACCAACTGTGAAAGACCAGTTCAGAATAAATGTACAGAAGGCTGATTTTTTTTTCAAACATACAATATCTGAACAGAAGGATGACAAATCATTCAGAAACATTCGCGCGAACACACCACTTGTTAAAGTGTGGTGTTCTGGACAGCACGTGGCGCACGGGCTGCATGCGCAAATGTGTGCGGCGGGGAACTCTGTCCCTAGCCTTGTCATTTTTACAGTCATGCTTGGTAGAGAGCAGCCACGTTGCCGGTGGCTGCCTCTGACAGTGTCAAATCAGGGCACAATGGTCGTATTTGTAAAGTCAAACGAGGACTTTAATAAAACCAAATAAGGGTTTTTTCATTGTCAAATAAGGACTGAAACATAGTCAAATAAGGACTAAAACATTGTCAAATAAGGACTAAAACATTGTCAAATAAGGACTAAAACATAGTCAAATAAGGACTAAAACATTGTCAAATAAGGACTAAAACATAGTCAAATAAGGACAAATCGTGGTAAATAGTTATTTTAGAAATTGTTTCTGAAATCGTGTGTTAAATCAAATATGATTTAAAATTGAGTTTCAGTTATTAAACAGACATTAACTTTAAGTTTTCTTGAGTTATTTTTTAAGACTTCCACTGCGTATCAAAATGGTAGCAGAGCGTGGTTACCATACCAATAGTTGCTAAATCACATGTTGATGTGATTTGAACAGACAGTTTAGTTTCATTGTACATAGTTTCGATGTAGCATAGTCAACTGGAAATTGGTTGTATGATAAAGCACAGGTGGTAATTTGTGGTGTTTATCCAACAACCGTTACCATGGTAATTATACACTGTTTGTTTACCCATGTACATTAGCTTTGGGTATTATGTTGAATTTTGATAAGAAAACGTGATCACGTGTTAGCTTACAAACATGTCCCGTACTAGTGTAATCTCTCCCTTAAAGGGGAAAATGGACAAAACAGAGTTTACACTTGATACAATTGCAGACATACCTCTGCCTGAGTCTGATGGTATTTCAAACAAAACAGATTATGAATCTACAATGAACTCTCTGAAGAGGCAAAATATGATAGTTAAATCAGCTTTCACAAAATCAAAAAATGCTTTGGAGAAGCTAGTTGATCAAGAAGATATTCCATTACGAATGGAGGTTCAGGAAGCCATAGACAAATTAAACAGTTACCAGCTAAAGGCTTTAGAAGTTATTGTGAACCTGTCAGAACTGTTTGAAGCTGTTGGTGATAAAAACAATATGGTCAAGGTCACACAGGAAGGTGAACTATTAGAAGAGGTAGGTACTAAAGCTCAAGATGATGCACAGGACTATCTCAGAAATAGGTCTGATGCTACTTCCAAATATTGTCTGTCACAAATGTTTAATTCTGAAAAGAAGGTAGAAGTGAAAGATGCTCCTGTAGAAAACGCTTCTTGTCATACGAAATCAGTCGGTGGGCAATCAGGTTATCAAGTAGAACCACATCATGAACCAGTTCAGATGGTGAGGCAGCATTCAGATACTTGTTACAATCGTAGGGCACCTACACTTTCACACAGTTATGATATCGGTAGAGACATGTGGAAACATTTTAAGCGTGTGTCTATCCCTGTCTTTACTGGAGATGTCAAATCATATGAAGCCTGGAAGGCTGCATTTATTGCTTGTATAGACAAAGCACCTGCCACACCAGAATATAAGCTGCTTCAGTTGCGCCAGTATGTTAGTGGTGATGCAATGAAGGTCATTCAAGACTTAGGTCACAGCGCAGCTGCCTATGGTGTAGCTCTTGAGAAACTGGAACGTAAATTTGGAGGTGTGAGATGTCATATTGCACTCCAATTGGAAGAAATTTTTATCCTTCAAGCCAGTGCGACCTGGTAATGCAAAGGACTTTGAACGGTTTGCTGATATGCTGGATGTTGTGGTTGTAAACCTAAGGGAGTCTGATAGGTTAGAAGAGTTAGGCAATGGATCTTTGTATGTACAGATTCTGAAGAAAATGATGGAATCCATGATCAGTCAATACCAAAGATGGATATTTGAAACTCAACGACAGGAGTTGGTTGAAGCATTATGTGAATGTCAGGGTATTTCATTGAATGACATCATACACCAGGGACCAAAACTTCAGGGTGATTTGTTTGAGATACTTCTTCGATTCCGCAAATACAAAATAGCTTTGGTTTGTGACATTGCTGAAATGTATTTACAAATAGGAATTCCATCCAAAGACCGTTCATACTTTAGGTTCGTGTGGAGATGATTAAAGCAATCAGAAATACCACAGATATATGAATTCCAGAGAGTGGTCTTTGGCATGAATGCTTCTCCTTTTCTGGCACAATACATTTCTAAGGAAAAAGTAAGGAGGTTTGAGCATCTCTTCCCAAAAGCTGCAAACACTGTTTGCAAATCCACGTACATGGACGATGGTATGGATTCTGTTCCAGAAGTGGATGATGGTATCGAATTGTACAAACAACTTACAGCCTTGTGGGGAAAAGTGGGAATGCGATCAAGAAAATGGTTATCAAACACTCCAGAGGTCCTCAGACACATACCAGTTGAAGATAGAGCATCCGAGGTCAACTTGACACAGGATGAGTTACCGTCAGCAAAAACACTAGGTCTTGTCTGGCTAGCTCAAGATGATGATTTCTGCTTTCGCAGTCCTAGTGCAGGAGAGAACTCGATACTTACCAAGGGAGGGTTTCTTAGAGAGATAGCAAAATTGTTTGATCCCCTTGGTTTTCTGGCTTCATTTCACATCAGGGCAAAAATTACCATGCAGAAACTGTGGTTGTCAGGCATGGACTGGGATGATGTGGTTGAACATGATCTGAAAAAGGAAGCATCACAATGGCTCACAGAGAGAAGTCAGTTAGATGGATTACGGTTTCCCAGGTGTTTACAACTGCAGCTTGATGGCAGAAGAACAAAACTACATGTATTTGTTGATGCATCTGAGGATGCATATGGTGCAGTCTTGTATTCTGTCAATACCAATGAAAACGGTGACAATTCAAGCCAGCTGGTAGCAGCTAAAAGTCGGGTTGCTCCTTTGCAGTGTGTAACCATCCCTGGACTTGAGTTAATGGCAGCTGTGTTAGGAGTTCGGTTGATGTTGGCTGTTTCACATGCCCTTGAAATTAGTGTTTCCACTTCAGTTCTGTGGACTGATAGTCTTAATGTGCCGTGGACTGATCGTCTTAATGTGCTGTGGACTGATAGTCTTAATGTGCTGTGTTGGATCAAACATCACAGCCGTTATTTCAAGTCATTTGTAGCCAACCGTGTTGCTTTCATACAGGAGCATACTGATACCTCTCAATGGAAGCATGTTCCATCAGAACTAAATGCTGCAGATATTATCACCAGAGCAACATCAGTTCAGAAATTGTTCACTGCATCGTGGAAATATGGACCAGAATTTCTGCAGTGTGATGAAAGCAAATGGCCTGAACAAACCGTGAATGTCAGGACATCGCATGAATCTGAAATGAAAAAGAAAGATACGAAACAATCTGTATCCCTAGTGACATTTTCTGATTCAGTTTGGTTACTGGAACCTACAAGATTTTCCGATTGGAAAAGGCTTACACACATTACAGCATGGGTGTACAGATTTCTTAACAATGCTTCTGTTAAATCAGATGAAAGACAGCTGGGTTGCTTAACCACAGAAGAAATTGCTGATGCTGAAAAGCACATCATTTGTAATGCACAAAAAGATGCATTCTCAAAAGATTATTTGGCGATAGCAAATGGAAAGCATGTTTCCAAAGGTAGCAAACTCATTAATCTTCATCCTGTTCTGGATGATGATGGTCTCCTTAGGTCTGCTGGCAGACTCAAACATGCAGATTATTTGCCTTTCCAAACAAAATTCCCAATTATTTTGCCTAGAAAACACTGGGTAACGAAGCTGATTGTTAAGAAGCATCATGAAGATGGCAATCATGTTCTTGGAACAAACCAAGTGCTTGCTGTTTTATCCTCTCGTTTTTGGATAATTGCCGGTCGTGAAGAGATTCGTGAATAGGAACAAGAGTGTTCACATTGTCATCGACAAAAGGCAAAGCCAGCAGCTCAAATAATGGCGCCACTTCCAAAGATTCGTTTGAGGTACTCTCTTAGAGCTATTGAGCAGGCAGGTGTTGACAATGCTGGGCCATTTCTAACGATTCAGGGACGTGGAAAATCCAGACAAAAACGTTATTTGTGCCTCTTCAATTGCTTAGCAGCCAGAGCAGTACATTTGGAGATGTCATATGCTCTAGACAGTGATTCGTTTCTTAATGCATTCTACAGAATGGCGAGTAGACGAGGGCTACCCAAGGAAATCCTATCAGATAATGGCACTAATTTTGTTCGAGCTACAAATGAGCTGAAGCAACTTGTTGCTAAGCTAGATACAGATACTGTGAAGTCATCTCTGGCGAACAGAGGTTTTTTTAAAAATTTAATTCTCCTCATGCTCCAAACTTTGGTGGAGTCTTTGAATCAATGGTTCGGGCTGCCAAGCGAGCAATATATGCCATTCTTGGATCTGGAGATATAACAGATGAAGAATTGATGACATCGTGTAGGCCATTCTTGGATCTGGAGATGTAACAGATGAAGAATTGATGACATCGTGTAGGCCATTCTTGGATCTGGAGATATAACAGATGAGGAATTGATGACATCGTTTGTTGGTGCTGAAGGACTTATAAATTCCCGCCCTTTGACATCAAAGTGCTCACCCAAATGACGCCAAACCTTTGACGCCAAACCATTTTCTACATGGTCAAATGGGTGGAATCTTTGCTCCAGATTCTGTAGATGTTACACCTTTTAATCCAAGAAGAAGATGGAGAAGAGTACAGGAACTCGTACATCATGTCTGGAAACGCTGGATGAAGGAATGGTTACCTTCACTTCAGACAAGAAAGAAATGGTTTTCACCCAGCCGGGATCTACAAGTGGATGACGTGGTTATCATCATATCACCAGAAGCACCTCGGGGAAGTTGGAAGCTCGGGATCATCACGAGGACATATCCAGGCACAGATGGTCATGTGAGAGTTGTGGACATTAAAACAGACAAAACTATAATAACAAGACCAGTCACAAAAGTTTGTCCTCTGGTATGGACACAAGGCGACAGACGGGAACATAAGACAGAAAAGGATGAAGAAGATGGGACGAACAGAAAAGAATGAAATGGAAAGTGCGTGAGTGAGTGAGTAAGTTGGGTTTAACGCCGCTTTTAACAGTATTCCAGTTATATCATGGCGTGTCATCTTATTGTGGGAGGAAAGCCCGAAGTGATGCAGGTCTCAAACGTTTACCACTTCGGTGAAACCAACGAGCACGGGTATGGTGCTGACAAACCTAGAAACATAATCGGGGCGAACCGGGATTCGAACCCACAATCATAGATTTCTGGCGTGCCCAAGGGACGCAACTCTGCACAGCGAATCACGGCGCCTTAGACGACTGGGCCACCCGTGCCCCCAATGAAATGGAAAGGACGGATGAACAATACAGAGGATTGAACAGAAGAGGATGAAGAAATCAAAATAAAACGGATACAGAAGAGGAACAAGGACACGTGAGTGAAAAGGACATATTCTGATTACTGACATTTACAGGAAAATGTTTGTGCTTTTCAAGGACTTCAGATTTCATTTGTGATTGTGCGATGAAAAAGTGTTTCTTTTTCAGGATGAACTTTAATTGAACTTTGAATTGTTTATTTTTCAGAAAATTGAACATTATAACGTGTGAAATTTCAATGTTTATTGCATGAAAATTGTGTTATTATGATCATTGTAGAATTATGATAGACATTGGACTATCAAAGTGGGGGGAAATGAACAGAAGGATGACAAATCATTCAGAAACATTTGCGTGAACGCACCACTTGTTAAAGTGTGGTGTTCTGGACAGCACGTGGCGCACGGGCTGCATGCGCAAATGTGTGCGGCGGGGAACTCTGTCCCTAGCCATGTCACTTTTACAGTCATGCTTGGTAGAGAGCAGCCACGTTGCCGGTTGCTGCCTCTGACAGTGTCAAATCAGGGCACAATTGTAGTATTTGTAAAGTCAAATGAGGACTTTAATAAAACCAAATAAGGGTTTTTTCATTGTCAAATAAGGACTGAAACATAGTCAAATAAGGACTAAAACATTGTCAAATAAGGACAAATCGTGGTAAATAGTTATTTTAGAAATTGTTTCTGAAATCGTGGGTTAAATCAAATATGATTTAAAATTGAGTTTCAGTTATTAAACAGACATTAACTTTAAGTTTTGTTGAGTTATTTTTTAAGACTTCCACTGCGTATCAATATCCTTTAGACATTCAGTACTTAGAACATGGCCACTGACTCTGGCCACCCAGGAGAAGGTGAGGTCTCTTCCCACCCAACTTATCACCGTCGAGAAACCCGAAGGTTTGTTTGGAATGTCTAATAAAAAGCAGTAATGGCAGGCTTGGACAGTCCACATTGTCCAGGCTTGGACATTCCAATCTACCACACATACATTGTTCTCAGTTTTACAACCTGAGGCAGCAATATTTTACCTTTGAATCCTAATCCCAAGTAATAATAGTCATAACCAGATACATTCCTGACTTCCTTCTGGTCAAGACATGTCTGAATAGCGATACTGTATATAGCCGTCTATAAAGTGTAAGGCGTGCAGCATAACACAACAACATGCAGCCAACGCCGCAAGGTTCGACCTACCTCCATCCAAGTGTAGCTGCTCTATGGCATGGCTGATGTCCTCAAGTTTGCAGCCATTGTCCACCAAGGCCTGGACAGAGGGGTTCTTCTCTAAACGATCTGAAGAAGAATTAGATTCTAATTTACATCAGAAACATTGTTCCAGGCATATTCGCGATATTCCCTTGGGCTTTGGGACCAGACACCACTTGCACAAAGCAATCTTAGCACTACGACTATTGTAAGCCTATGCTAAAGTATGGGAGTTACGATCATCTTAGCGCTAAGATCGCTTTGTGCAAGTGGGCCCAGAAGTCTGAGGTAGATTTAACAACACATTGTACGTAGAAGGCAGGACTTGCTCCTTTCAAAAGTAACTGGTCCTTCTCCAAACTAACTGGCCCAGAACTAAATGAAGGAGGTCGCGACTAAGTTATGCAGGGGGCTCTGAAATGTTTAGAACTCCTCACCCTAAATTATCTTTTCCTGCACTCTGAGATGCTGGCTTCCACCTGCCTCATTTCGTGGTGATTTTGTGGGCAAATAAATGTTGTTGTGCAGAACATTACAAAATGTTGTGTCATGCTACTGAGATTATCTACAAATTACACGACCTCATCCCTGATTCATGAGCAGTGTCCAACTTAAACAATTAAACATCTAGTTTACGTTTCAGCAAGCCTTTCGTAATTTTAACTGGCCACAGGCCAACGGATAACACCCTGGATGCTATTAAGAAAGCACCATGATCATAGTTCACCAGTAACTGTTAGGCCACCATCACACAAATGATGTGTAATTTCTCTGATTTCTGAGGTGAGGTGAGGTGAAATGGGGTTTAACGTCGCGTCCAAGATTATTGCACTTATATAGCGACGTGCATGTACGTGTGTGTGTTTGTGTGGCTGCTTGTACTAGTCCGGACTGATGCCGATTTATAGTGCTAGCTCACTGAGATACCATGTCGCAGTTTAACATGAATACCCCACTCAGACACAGTATACTGACTCCGAGCCGACCAGTCCTTGTTTTAGCCCCTTAATGCCGAGCGCCAGACAGGGTAACAACAAGTGCCATCTTTTAACGTCTTTTGGTATGACGCGGTCGGGGATCGAACCCCGGACCTTCCGCTCTCCGGGCGGACGCTCTACCACCAGACCACGAAGACGGTCCTCTGATTTCTTAACTTGTGAAAGTAGATTTAAAAAACAAACATAATTATTACCTGAATCTGCTACAGTTCTGCCATTCTGAAAATATAAATAACCAACCCATCATTTCACTCACTCACTGATAATGTGACAATGTAGAATGCTTCAACATCAAGAAGGAAAGTAGGTAGGTTATTTGGTGCCGCTGATTGTCCAATCAGAATTGAGCACTTCCCAAAGTCACGGTATAATGTTCAATATAGCATGCTAAGTACTTGATTACAAATACACTACAGAAAGTGTTAAGCATGTCAAGCACAGACATCAACAAACATTTCAAAATGGGATGTATCAGTCATGGAATACCACAGCAAGTTAACATTCACTTTCATCAATGCTTATGGAAAAGTGTTTGATGAAACTGGATGTTATGCAGCAGTAGTAGAAACCAACATTTCTAAACCACTAAACCTCATAATGAACTGTTTGATTGGCAGTATTAGAAGTTGACGGACGACAAAGCAGACACAATTTACGGATAACAACTTCTTCACTTACAGTAAAGGCGACGTTACGGTATAGATCTTGCCTTACAATGACATAATGATCTATACCAAAACGTCGCCTTTACAGTAAATAAAGAAGTAGTCATCCATAAATTGTGCCTACTTAGTCCTTATAATGATGACATAGAGAAAAAAACATTAAAATGGTAAAGTGGAACATTCCCTACCCTAGAACTTGAGTTGCCTCCCCTGGCGAGTTTGACGAAGGCACACTGGGGGTACCACTTGGTGTGTTCCTCCATGGGGTCATCAGTCGGGTCCCACGTGTGCAGGCGACCACCGCAGGAGAAACACATCACTTGGTCTCCCTTCCCTGAAAGTACACAAAGGAATGGTAAGCTTTGCCTGGACGAGGGTACAAGCAGCAGCAATACATCCTCATGTAATTGTTAACATATATTGTGTCCACAGTACAAGCCATGAATCCACACAGCATTAATGGACACTACAGTATTCACCTTGTCCATGTTGTTTTCATGATATAGTTGGTTTTTACATGATTACTTTTCCAATGGGACCCACAAATGGATCGACAGATATTAACAGATGCTGGCCCTATCTCATTAAAATCAGATCTTAGTTCTCGCTACCACTAATCAAAGATCTGAGGACACCCCATCACGGCTCAAGTCAATACGACCTTGCGCGAACTTTGACCGATTGTCACTTTCATAATCTGGTAAGCGACGCTCTGATTGGTCGGATGAAAGGTCGTTCTGACGTGACCCCTAATGGGATGTCCTCAGATCTTTGTTTAGCAATAGCGAGAACTGAGGTCTGATTTTAATGAGATTGATGCTGGACTACCCTGAAACAGAGTCTGTAGTAAACATCAAGGTAAGAAATAAATGACACGCTGAAGAGTTGCAATCCTACTTAATGGCAAAGTAATAGTTCACTGTGAACTGTAGCCCTTGCTGAAAGTCACTAGTTTCAGAAGAGTGGACTCATTTCTAACCCTGAACATGGCTTATTACCATGACTATAGACCCTTATGATAGAAGGTAGAAAAATCAGGCTGAAAAACATACTCGGACGAGAAGTCAGAAAAGTTTTCTGTGAAAAGAATCGCAATGAACTGATGGACAGGCAGATAGTGAAGTGATTGATTGTAACAGGCAGAAGAAACTGTCTCATTGCTTACCCAAGTAATACAGCCCAGCCTTCGCCATGTCTTCCGGCGTCTGTTTGATTTGACCTGGCCAGTCTCCGAATGTCCCCAGGCGGGTAGACTCAATCCCATACTGAGGGAATTTAGGTTTATTCTTCACAATGCCCAGACTGTCAGCTGTTGTGTCGTCGGTCGACTTCACGCCCAGGTCTGCCGTTGTCGACCTGTCCAGATGTGCTGCTACCTGCTGGCTGTCGATGATGGGGTTTGCCCCCCGGTGACCAGCTGCCCGTACCCTGTGTACCACACAGTTGGGGAAGTGTTTCTTGTGTTCCTCTGAAACAACATCTCCCTTCTCCCAGTGTTTGAGTACCCCTGTACAGTAGACACACCTAACTCTGTCCCCAGGACCTTCATAGTAAAACCCTTCCCTGGCCAACGCCTTGGGGGTGACGTTTGCCTGTGCTGGCCATTTACCAGCAAATGTCTGTAAGCGATTACTTTCAATGTACAAAACATTATGTACAATGTCCACAGGTACTGGACAAGCATCAGCTGTGTTGAGAGGGTTCTGGTCTGGGGGGGTCATGTCAATGGGTTCCTCGAAATGCATCCGCCATACCACCATGTCAGTTCCATACACCCGGTGTTGGGTGTATTCGGGGGGCATAGAGGAAACATTGTTCACCTGACTTGATGTATATCTGGAGTGGAAGTGAGGGGGAACACTTGGGTCATCGGCATCAGGAGGATTATCTATTACCAAATCCATTTCCAATCCATTCTGATATTCCGCGTCATGTGGTCCGATGTCATACCCAGAGTTATCCATTGTGAAGAGCTAGGTTAACTATCAATATTCGAAACTCCCAGTTACTGCAGTGACCTCTAGAAAAACATCCCTGTAGGCAGACATGCCATTCTTTTGATGACAACACTTGAATATGTTGAGAAATATGCTGATGATTTATTATTTGTTCGACTGAAGTGGAGAAAAAGTCTTAGTTGCTGCTTGTAGACGTCACATTGGAAATAACTGAAACATATGTTATACGTGAAACATGGGGCTAAAACTGCATTAGTGACTGGTCATATATTAGGGTGGGGGAGAGAAGGGTGTTTGGTGTCAGACTCACTGACTTGGTTGATGCATGTCATAGTATCCCATCTGCGTAGATCGATGCTCATGATGTCCATCACTGGATTGTCTGGTTAAGACTTGATTGTTTTCAGACCACCGTCATATAGCTTGAATATTGTTGGGTGCGATATTAAACAACAAACAAACAAAACATGGTATCCCATTTGTGCAGATCGATGCTCATGATGTCAATCACTGCAGACCTCCATCAAATAGTTGGAATATTGCTGAGTGCGGTGTTAAACAACAAACATACAAAACATCGTATCCCATTTGCGTAGATCGATGCTCATGATGTCAATCAGAATATGGAAAAGATATAATGGGTAATTTTCTGTACACCGTTTTTTTCAAAATGTTGAATTTACGAACCTGTTATTTGCGTCCCGCGTGAACACTGCTGTATCCCAATTACCTCTAAAAAGACCCACGAACCCCTGGCAGTCTCAAGAGGTAGGCCTAGCTCCCTTCTCAAACTACCCATAATGGGACACAGGACCATGTAAGTTGTAACTAATAATAATAATAATAATAGCAAACAAACTCGAAGAAAGAATAATGACGGTTACTAAATGTTGGTAATAGTGTAAGAAGATTATCAAAATGATTGTCAACTAGATCTCTAAGGTGCGAATCACAATTCACGTTTGACATTTATCCGGACTATATAGAAACTATATAGAAACTACTACGACAGTATTTTGAAGCAGTGACACAAGTACAATACTGACGGTTCACGTAACAACACACTCCTTACTTACCCGTGCTTCTTACTGAATGATTTTCACCAATCGTGAAAAAGGAATAAGACGTAACCCAAGAAATACGACCGAAATACCCTTCCACCTGTGAAGACCAACTGTTGGGCGCGTCAGTTTACGACCCTTTCCCAGCGCTACGTTTATCGAGCGGTATACATCTTGCAAGGGACGCGACAGTTCCTATTAATTACTTGCGCTCAGTGCTACTGTCATGGCGGATCTGTTTACGCAGTTTACTGTCGAAGGTCGGCTTGTTGTTATATTAACGTACAGATCGCTTACTATAACTTCAGGGAAGTCTCTTAGGTGAGTTATGGTCGGCTGGGACGGGTGACTCGGGTACTCGAGTCTTGTGGGCCCTGAATAGGACCCGGGTACCCACAGGACTACCCAGACCCGTGGTTAGTCACGTTATATATTGTTTAAAGACAAAAACATACTATAGCTCAGTGGTTACACTACAAGTCGCTAATGTTAACATTATTTTCTGACGATGTACCCATTCCTTCAGTGTACGCATGATCTGATTGTTTGATACATGTATCTGAATAACTTTAGCCAGGGCTGCGGTAAAACAATTACTAATCTGACATTTTGTTCCCTACTCTTGAGACTTGCAGTGGGTACCCGGGTAATAGGGGATCGGGTAACCGGGTAGTAAATTTGAACTCGTCCCAGCCCTACTGCAAATATATCACGAAATAAATGCCTCAATAACTGCAAACTGTGAAAAGTTTTATTGTGGTATGGTACTTAGTTTTAAGTCTTAATTTCATTTCATCTGTGCTTTAAAACTTGAATTTACAAATAAAGCGTGTTTGACAGTGTAATGCACTTTTACACTTCCAAATACAAGGAATAAAATCTGGTATTCAAGTTTCAGTGAATGTTACTTTTGTTAGAAATACAGTCAATATCAATTGGGTTTCTGTCACTTGCAGAACTACAACAATGGATCATAACAAGCATGACAAATATTACAGTACATCCTTAATATCAGAACTCAGCTATTTAATATATCTAGCTTGTGACAATTTTAACAGGATATTCTCGTTTGATATTTGTCAACTGAATAATGTGTTATAGTTCACAAGAAAATTAAGTAAGCCAGTCAGGCAACCTTAATGTTATTTTCATGAGCCCGACTTGAAATTAATGGTTTCTTAACCATAAAAGGTCGGGGATTTAATCTTTCCGAGGACATTTTCTATTGTGACTTATAACTTGAAAACTACAGCATATCTTCTTCTCAAACTTTGTGTATCAATAGGACAGGTGCTGCGTGAGGTTTGATTTCAATTTTTGGATTTTCTGAAAAAATACAGCTGTTTTTCATTGGGTTACTTATATTTTTTCTACTTAAACATTTTAAGCACTGCATGCATTCTTTTGAAATTTAGGGAACAGTTTCCATACTAAAATAGAGGAGGTGCAGTGCAAAGTTTGATAAGTCACTTTAGTGGAATTTCTCAGAAAATATACCGGTATCTTGTTTCATGTTTTGAACTTAGAAATATTTTTATACCCCTGACCTAAAAGCTTCAAAAGGGCAGCGCATCATATTTAGGACATAAACATACTGTGTTTTCAATGTAGAGCTAGGTTACCTGTAAATTTAACCATGCTAAATTGAATTTGGAACCAGAAGCGCAGCATGAGGTTTCAAATATCAAATCTCCATTCTACCACGACTAAATAAAACGCCAACTCTTTTGTATTACAAAAACATATTGAGTGAAGTGGCATGGGTTGAGTCCAGTATTTTGAGTGGGTTGTTGATCTGAATATACGGAATCCCTGACAACAGCCTGTAAACACAATATGGTGCTCTATATGTTCAGCAGTTCCCTTACACTGTAATACTTCACACAAACTTATCAGACCCGTGAAGACCCGGGGTAGATTAGGTCTTCAGCAACCTATTCTTGTCATTGATATCATGAGCATCAATCCACGCAATTGGGATCGATGACATGCTTCAACCAAGTCAGCGAGCCTGACCACCCGATCCCATTAGTCGCCTCTTATGACAAGCATAGTCGCCTTTTAGGGCAAGAATGGGTTTCTTAAGACCTATTCTACCCTGGATCTTCACGGGTCAACTGTTATGATGTCATATTGCTCATTGTGATGCAAAACACATGCAACGTCGTACAAAAGTGCTAAATAGCGACCTCTCTGTTGACCTTAAAGCTTTAAATACATTCTCTTTGCAGATTTCTGTCATGTTCTCTGCATGAAAATATTTGCCACACATCCTTTGAATCATCGTACAACCGCATCGTTTATGACTCCTACTGGAACGTCTACAAATTATTATATAAAAGAAACATCGCTATGTGTTTTCCAATATCAATTAAACAAGAGACAAACACTGGTCGCGGAAAGGGACAACTACAGACTTTTCATATTGCTTGTATATAGCATGTGGGTAAATAATCGTCGTTACCCCCACAACTGTCGTAAGATATTTAATATTTTTACTACGTATGACTCCTACTGGTCTATCTACACATTATTATATAAAAGAAACATCCCTGTATGATTTCCAATATCAGTTAAATGGGAGACGAACACTGGTCGCGGAAAGGGACATCTACAGACTTTTCATATTGCTTGTATGTAGCGCGTGGGTAAATAATCGTCGCTAACTCCACAACTGTTGAAATATTTTGATTATTTTTACTATTTATGACTCCTACTGGTCAGTCTACATATTATTATATAAAAGAAACATCCCTGTGTGTTTACCAATATCAATTAAATGGGAGACGAAAACTGGTCGCGGAAAGGGACAAATACAGACTTTTCATATTTCTTGTATATAGCATGTGGGTAAATAATGGTCACTACCCCCACAGCTGTTGTAATATATTTATTATTTTTACTATGAATGACTCCTGCTGGACCGTCTACACATTATTATATAAAAGAAACACCACTGTGTGTTTACCAATATCAATTAAATGGGAGACGAACGCTGGTCGCGGAAAGGGACAAATACAGACTTTTCATATTGCTTGTATATAGCATGTGGGTAAATAATGGTCACTACCCCCACAGCTGTTGTAATATATTTATTATTTTTAGTATGTATGACTCCCACTGAACCGTCTAAACATTATTATATAAAAGAAACACCACTGTGTGTTTACCAATATCAATTAAATGGGAGACGAACGCTGGTCGCGGAAAGGGACAAATACAGACTTTTCATATTGCTTGGATATAGCGTGTGGGTAAATAGTGGTCACTACCTCCACAGCTGTTGTAATATATATATATTATTTTTACTATGAATGACTCCTGCTGGACCGTCTACACATTATTATATACAAGAAACATCCCTGAGTGTTTTCACTTATCAATTAAACAGGAGACGAACACTGGTCGCGGAAAGGGACAATTACAGACTTTTCATATTGCTTGTATATAGCATGTGGGTAAATAATCGTCGCTACCCCCACAACTGTCGTAAGATATTTAATATTTTTAGTATGTATGACTCCCACTGAACCGTCTACACATTATTATATAAAAGAAACACCACTGTGTGTTTACCAATATCAATTAAATGGGAGACGAACACTGGTCGCGGAAAGGGACATCTACAGACTTTTCATATTGCTTGGATATAGCGTGTGGGTAAATAGTGGTCACTACCTCCACAGCTGTTGTAATATATATATATTATTTTTACTATGAATGACTCCTGCTGGACCGTCTACACATTATTATATACAAGAAACATCCCTGAGTGTTTTCACTTATCAATTAAACAGGAGACGAACACTGGTCGCGGAAAGGGACAATTACAGACTTTTCATATTGCTTGTATATAGCATGTGGGTAAATAATCGTCGCTACCCCCACAACTGTCGTAAGATATTTAATATTTTTAGTATGTATGACTCCCACTGAACCGTTTACACATTATTATATAAAAGAAACACCACTGTGTGTTTACCAATATCAATTAAATGGGAGACGAACACTGGTCGCGGAAAGGGACATCTACAGACTTTTCATATTGCTTGGATATAGCATGTGGGTAAGCCAGCCTTCACCACCGCGTCCGTGTCTATATTTAGACACAGGACCGTGTGCAGTCTGTAGTTGTCCCTTTCCCAGACCAGTGTTCGTCTCCTGTTTAATTGATAAGTGAAAACACACAGGGATGTTTCTTTTATATAATAATGTGTAGACGGTCCAGTAGGAGTCACACATAGTAAAAATAATAAATAAATTACAACAGCTGTGGGGGTAGTGACCATTATTTACCCACATGCTATATACAAGCAATATGAAAAGTCTGTAGTTGTCCCTTTCCGCGACCAGTGTTCGTCTCCTGTTTAATTGATATTGGAAATACACAGTGGTGTTTCTTTTATATAATAATGTGTAGAGTGACCAGTTGGAGTCATACATAGTAAAAATAATAAATATATTACGACAGCTGTGGAGGTAGCCACGATTAATTACCCACACTCAATAGACAAGGAATATGAAAAGTCTGTACTTGTCCCTTTCCACGACCAGTGTCCGTCTCCCGTTTAATTAACAATGGAAAATACACAGGGATGTTTCTTTTATATAATAATTTGTAGAGTGACCAGTTGGAGTCATACATAGTAAAAATTATAAATATATTACGACAGCTGTGGAGGTAGCGACGATTACTTCCTACACTCAATAGACAAGCAATATGAAAAGTCTGTAGTTGTCCCTTTCCGCGACCAGTGTCCGTCTCCCGTTTAATTGATATTGGAAAACACACAGGGATGTTTCTTTTATATAATAATTTGGTATAATAATTTTTTTTGTTTCTTTTTATATTTACGCCAATTAACAGATGGCTGTACACATTATTAGAAAAGAAATAGCCTTGGTTGGGGTAAAGGCAATGATTGTCTCATATATATATATATATATGCAGGGCAATCGGAACAGTCTGTAGTTGTCCCTTTACTAGACCAATGCCCGTTCCCCGTACACAATAATATTTGTATCATACTATTTATGTGGTATAGTGGCGATGATTTTACCACAACCTGTGCCTGCCAATATGAACAGTGTGTAGTTTTCCCTTTCCCAGACCAATGTTCGCGTCCGGTATAAAATAACATGAAACACACTCAATGCTCTTTTTTTCATAATATTGTGTAAGAGTGACACGTCAGTGGACCGAATAGAAAAGGCATTGTATTATACCCATTGTAGGGGTAGCCTACGAGGATTTTTACACACACCAAAAAAGGCAATATGAAGAGTCTGTAGTTGTCACTTTCCCAGACCAACGTAAGCCTCCCGTTTCATTGATGTGTGAAATACAGAAGAATGTTACTATTATATAATAATGTGTAGAGTGACCAGTAGGAGTCATACATATATAGTGACCAATCAGTGGCTTGAATATACAAATGATAATTGTATTAAACTAGTTGTACGGGCTTGCGGCGCTGATTTACGCACACGCTATACACAAGGCAATATGAAGATTCTGTTGTTGTCCCTTTCCCAGACGCCCGTTCGCGCCCCGTATAAAATGTGGCAAAATATGCAATGCTCTTTTTTTGATAATGTGTAGGGTGGGTACAAAGAATACATTCTGAAAAACGTTGAATAGATTAAAGTGAGTCAGCATCAATGCCACTGGCTTCGAATATCCCCAAGCTGTAAAAATGTATTTTTCCATATATTTAATAATCTATATGAGAATTCGACGATATATGATATAGTGGAAAAGCTTATATCAAGTCAAGATTCCCCTTTGATAGAAATTATCTAAATCCGATAGTTAACAGAAAATATTGTGTAAAGAAGTGAGCCAACCAGTATATCTGTTTTCCTCTCAGATGACGTACCACTTTTGATAGCAACGTCTGTCTCTAGAAAAAGGAAAAATAGGGATCAGAGTAAAATAAAGTGGCCTGTGTTCTGAAAAGAAAGTTCGGCTATCGTTTGTCAGCTATATTTGTGACTGCGATAATGCGTATTTTACAAACGTGCATGTATTTATTAGTTTAGGGTAGTGTGATACATTACCACGATGTCTAAAGAGACTAAATCAAATTACAGATGATCTCAATCGTCACCTTACTAACAGTACAGATAAGAAAATTAATGGCTTTAAATGTGTTATAAATTTATGTACATTTATAAAACACGTCACAGTACGAATTGTAAGGCTTAGATCATAAAATACTCTCCTTAACGTTATTTGTTATGAAAATTTTGTCCCAGAATACGGCGTTCGCTTTTGAGTAATATTTATTCAGACAAAAATGTATGGAATTGTTATAATTTGACTGGGATTTGTCTATTATTAGCCGCGCATTTCGTTTTGGCGTGCGGAAGCTTAAATACAGTATAGTTGAACTACACGCGCGTGTACAACAGGCATACCTCTCGATAAACGTAGCGCTGAGGCCTGGTCTGGGAAAGGGACGTAAACTGACTCGACCGAAACTGGTCGTGGGAATTCCCCTTTTTACTTTCGTATCGCTCCTAACATTCGCCTCGCTTTGGGGCGGTCCAATCATTCGTCGCTGAAGCTTACGGAAAGGGGCGAGTGGTGACGAATGAAGGCTACATTCGGCTTGTCCCGGAATGGGACGAAATGTTCACGAATGATGCCGAATGGTTATGGGTTTTCCCCGTTGAATTACCCTTCAAGATCAAACTTCACATGGTATTTGTAGATATATGTGTGTCAGGGGCGGATCCCAGATATTTGTAAAGGGGGGTTCACTTTTGGAATTTTATCCACAGATAAAAAAATAATTATCTGGTTGTGTTGTCTGATATCCTGAACATAATTGAACAAAGTTAAACATACCGTTCACATTGCACTAACATGTCTCATTGATTGAATCTTATAATAAATTCAGGGACGACGTGAAGATTCTTCTTGTTTTTCCCGATGAAAAAATCCCAAACGTTAGTGACAAGCTTCCAACTTGTTTTAATTACACATGTTCAACAGTTCAAATGAATAGCCATCCACAACACATTGTCAACAGGAAAGCAGTCAGTCTATGCCTATGGAGATTTTAATTTATGTGAACTATTATATTGTAAATGTATACAGAATTGTTATGATAAACAGCTCACACATTTATCAGATATTTCAAACTGTCAAATCCTCCACCAGATAACAAACATCCTCCAGCAAATATTAATTAGCATGGTCGCCCCTGTATGTAATGTGGTCTCTGTTGATATACATTTTGTTATATTTATGGTCTCAAATAATGCCCGGGTTTCTATTTATAATTTTTTTTTTTTTATATTTAAAACGGATACTCTAGGTACAACTATTCAAAGGTTGGGGTGGGCATGGGGAGAGGTGGGTGGGATGGGGTGTCGAATTATATCCCAAAATTTCAGATATACTGTTTAGAAAAAGTCTTTATCGAGTTCATCAGATTAAACTAACTTGACCGGTCCCTTATATGAGACACTTCGCCACAACCAGAGGGAATTATTTCATTGAAAGCAGTTTACGTACGCTTCAGTGACTATTGAAGACCTAATGCCGATTTACTATTTGGTTAATTTCACCAATTTACTTTCATTTTCATTTCCCACCGTTTTAGATGACCTCTTATATGAAGGTCGAGTGTTATTAATATATTTCTTCAACATAATTATGCCAATACCTATAGATAGTCATGGGCCCCGTTCCACAAAGCGATCGTAGTGTTACGACTGTTGTAAGTCTATGTTAAAGAATGGGAGTTACGATCACCTTAGCACTACGACTGTTGTAAGTCTTTGTTAAAGTATGGGAGTTACGATCACCTTAGCACTACGACTGTTGTAAGTCTTTGTTAAAGTATGGGAGTTACGACCATCTTAGCACTACGACTGTCGTAAGTCTATGTTAAAGTATGGAAGTTAGATCACCTTAGCACTACGACTGTTGCAAGTCTATGTTAAAGTATGGGAGTTAGATCACCTTAGCACTACGACTGTTGTAAGTCTATGTTAAAGTATGGGAGTTACGATCACCTTAGCACTACGACTGTCGTAAGTCTATGTTAAAGTATGGGAGTTACGATCACCTTAGCACTACGACTGTCGTAAGTCTATGTTAAAGTATGGGAGTTACGATCACCTTAGCACTACGACTGTCGTAAGTCTATGTTAAAGTATGGGAGTTACGATCACCTTAGCACTACGACTGTCGTAAGTCTATGTTAAAGAATGGGAGTTACGACCATCTTAGCACTACGACTGTCGTAAGTCTATGTTAAAATATGGGAGTTACAACCACCTTAGCACTACGACTGTCGTAAGTCTATGTTAAAGTATGGGAGTTACGACCATCTTAGCACTACGACTGTCGTAAGTCTATGTTAAAGTTTGGGAGTAAGGATAACCAGGTCACTTGAATCATGAAATATCGGGATGAGTAATTAACGGGGATAGCTGCATGTGTGCTAATACTCAATCTCATTGAAACCAGATCTTAGTTTTCGCTACCGCTAAACAAAGATCTGAGGACATCCCAATACGGGTCACGTCAGAACGATCTTTTGCGAACTTTGACCGACCAATGAAATTACTGACAAGAAATCGACATTAGTCAATCAGAAGGCAGCTTTCTCGAGCTTTACGACACTAGTTTCAAACTGGTGACTACGAAACTGATCAAAAGAACATTCTGGAATGGCTTATAGATGGCCTAGATTGTATGGATATAATTATAAAACCCGTAACTGTCGTTCGGAATACCCTCTGTTAAATATTTTGAGGCTGCATGATTAGAAAATTCCGACTGTCACGTTCATGATCTTGTAAGCGACGCTCTGATTGGTTGGATGAAAGGTCGTTCTGACGTGACCCGTAATGGGATGTCCGCAGATCTTTGTTTAGCGGGAGCGAGAACTAAGATCTGATTTTTATGAGATTAGCTAATACTAATAAACAAGCCATATCAGCCATATTCCTTACAGTAATGACACCAATTGTAAAGTGCGCTTTTTAAGTAATATCGATTTTGCTAGCGTAAAACATCAAGTTTGATCCCATGGTTTCAATCCTGGTGAACTGCGAGCAGTTATAGTTAGTTGTTAATTAATAATTGTGATTCTATATCAAGTGGCGACTACTATACATGCGGCTAGATTAGATACTGGAGCTCAGCATCACTGTATGATTGTGGCAGTGTGATTTATTGTTAAACAACGTTGTAAATGTATTGCATTGTTTCTGATGAGATGCAGTAGAACTTCACAGCATTGTGTTTTGACAATGGTCAGTTGTCAGGAATGTAGTACTACTATCTAATGTAAGCAGTGGTGTGGACGTTACTATATTTAAATGCTTTTTCAAATGTCAAATGTAATCTAGAATCTTCTGGAACAACTAGGCTAGGCCAACACTGTGTAGAACCTTCTGGATGATATTTAGACTGTTGTATGGGGACAAGGATGTGCCTCTCGCACCTGACATTACATCAAGACCAACAGTGATCATTGAAGATCAATGTTTTCACCCTGAATATTCAACCTAGGCATGGTCTGGGAGCTTTCCCACTGTTTCTGCTAGGCGAATATTACCACTTCTATTATAGTTAATAATGTCATTGTAATTGTACTGCCATTGACTTTTGTACCGCCACTGTATGGTGTACTGCCATTGTAATTACTCTGCAGTAATTTGTATTGATTTGTAAACCTAATAAATTTTATAATAAAATTGTTAATTGTATACCATTTCATTGTTGTTGTTTTTTTGTTTCACACTGAATTCCAGCAAGCAGGGTATCAGCAGACGTTGAAATAAAACATAACACGTTTGGTTCCATGAACAATAAAATATTTATTGATGAAATAAATACATCATGATGTTTTTGATTGAAACATAACAATTTCAAATTGATGTTTGAAACAACTGTGCAATGTTGCTGTTTCACCAACAGATGAGGATAAGTAAACGAGTGTTGTTCCCAGACCTATGAAGCATTGGAACTGATCACTCTGTCTTGAGCAGGCTTCTGTGTGACACTGAGGGGGACACAGCTAATGGGGACGGTTCACACAGAATGCTGTATGACATATTCCATTCAGTGTCACAGAGGATATGAGGAATGTTGTCATTCAGGACAAGTTTGCTGGACCGAGCTGACTTCATCACTCCTGAATGTACAGACCGGAGTAGACACTGTCTGCTGGTCCGAGCTGACTTATCACTCCTCCAAGTACAGACCGGAGTAGACACTGTCTGCTTGACCGAGCTGACTTCATCACTCCTGCATGTACAGACCGGAGTAGACACTGTCTGCTGGTCCGAGCTGACTTCATCACTCCTCCAAGTACAGACCGGAGTAGACACTGTCTGCTGGTCCGAGCTGACTTCATCACTCCTCCAAGTACAGACCGGAGTAGACACTGTCTGCTGGTCCGAGCTGACTTCATCACTCCTCCAAGTACAGACCGGAGTAGACACTGTCTGCTGGTGACTTCATCACTCCTGAATGTACAGACCGGAGTAGACACTGTCTGCTGGTCCGAGCTGACTTCATCACTCCTCCAAGTACAGACCGGAGTAGACATTGTCTGCTGGTCCGAGCTGACTTCATCACTCCTGAATGTACAGACTGGAGTAGACACTGTCTCTGCTCCTAACACTGATAAAGTCTTATTATTGGTATGATGAGCTCTCAGTCCACATGGGAATTTTTCCAAAACCGTCTTCGATCCTGATTTGGACTTATATGGCCCTGAAAAGAGAAATATGAAATCATTAATTGTTTGAAATATACACAAACTAGACTAGAATTACAGAAAGTGACAACTATTACAGTTTACTGAGCTTCAAATATCTATCATATATTTCGCATGGTGCCCATGTCTTGTCCATAGATCATCAAATAGCTATAGGATTTGCTGATGCTGAATGTGAGCTGACATATCTATATCACCTGCTCAGCTCATTATGCCAGACAATTTCATTCTTTGTTTAATGGATGGGCCAGCCCAAAAGTGAAAGGAAAGACAATGTTTAAAAATTGATATATTGGGTCAAAAATGTGTCTACTTGAAACATGCATTTTAGTTCCAGTTTAGAGTTCAAGATTTGGTTTCAGAAATTTTAACCTCAAAGGAAGCCTGACAATTCTCTTTCAATTTTTTAACATGTCTCCTGCAATAAAATTTGTAAAACAAAAAATCAAACTGGTCTGGCCTTAACTTATATTTTTAATATCTAATTTGATTTTATATTATCAAATTACATCCCAAGATTTCCAGGAAGAGAAAAGAAATAGGTTGTCCCACGTTTGTATGAGGAACCTTCCTCCAAATGTCGACCATTACCCCCGCCAAGAGAAGAATGCTGCCACCAAGGAAAAGACTCGGACAATACATAGGAGAGAGTTGGAATATTGGGTAAAAAAATTGAATAAAAAAGTAATAAATTGCACTGGAGTATTCGTGTTAAATAAGAACTAAGGCGTGAATACTTCAAGCAGTATCTACATAAAAATGACTGAAACTACATTCACAACTTTGTCAGATTAACACAAACAATAAGACAGGCAAAAATATGTCTCAAAGAGATGCACAGTTTAGTAATGCAGCCTTCACTCCAAAAACTGTTATAAAAGTGAAACATTGTGAGAAGGGAAAAATACCCATGTTATCAATGGCACACACTGACACACACCGACACATACTGGCACACACCGACACACACTGACACACACCGACACATACTGACACACACCGACACATACTGACACACACCGACACATACTGACACACACCAACACATACTGACACACACCAACACATACTGACACACACCGACACATACAGACTTCAGATCAATGACACATACTGACACCGGATCAATGACACATACTGACTTTGGATCAATGACACTGACTCGCTAACATGAGATCAATGACACACTGACACATACTGACATTGGATCAATGACACATACTGAATATGGATCAAAGACACATACTGACATTGGATCAATGACACTTACTGACATTGGATCAATGACACATACTGACATTGGATCAATGACACATACTGACATTGGATCAATGACACTTACTGACATTGGATCAATGACACATACTGACATTGGATCAATGACACATACTGACATTGGATCAATGACACTGACTCGCTAACATGAGATCAATGACACATACTGACATTGGATCAATGACACATACTGACACTGGATCAATGACACATACTGACACTGGATCAATGACACATACTGACACTGGATCACTGACACATACTGACATTGGATCAATGACACATACTGACACTGGATCAATGACATACTGACATTGGATCAATGACACATACTGACATTGGATCAATGACACATACTGACACTGGATCAATGACACATACTGACATTGGATCAATGACACTTACTGATTTGCTGACTTTGGATCAATGACACATACTGACACTGGATCAATGACACTTACTGACACTGGATCAATGACACATACTGACACTGGATCAATGACACTGATTTGCTGACATTGGATCAATGACACATACTGACACTGGATCAATGACACTTACTGACATTGGATCAATGACACATACTGACACTGGATCAATGACACTTACTGACACTGGATCAATGACACTGATTTGCTGACTTTGGATCAATGACACATACTGACACTGGATCAATGACACTTACTGACACTGGATCAATGACACTTACTGATTTGCTCTCTTTGAATCAATGACACTTACTGACACTGGATCAATGACACTTACTGACATTGGATCAATGACACATACTGACACTGGATCAATGACACATACTGACACTGGATCAATGACACTTACTGATTTGCTGACTTTGGATCAATGACACATACTGACACTGGATCAATGACACTTACTGATTCGCTGACTTTGGATCAATGACACATACTGACTTTGGATCAATGACACTCAGTGACTCCCTAGCTTCGGATCAGTGACACTTACTGATACACACAGATACCCATTTCGCCCCAATTATGTTTCTAGGTTTGTCAGCACCATACACATGCTCGTGGGTTTCACGGAAGTGGTAAACATCAGAGACCTACTTTACCTCAGGCTTTCCTCCCACACGCTGTGATATTACTGAAATACTGTTCAGTTAAACTCATCTCACTCACTCACTCACTCACTCACACAGACACATACTGATGTTGGACCATTGACACATATTGACACACTGACTTCCAATCAATGAATACTGCATCTTGCATTCTTCAACACACCAAGTACATATTTAGATTGGCATTGCCTGGTTTATAGTGATTGCTGTGATTGGAATTTAGGAACAGGTCTGTTTACATGTTTCATAATAAATGTAAAAAATAATAAAAGGATTAAATGAATATATAATTTGAAACATTCCAAAAACAAGAAAACCTCAACATGGAAAACAGTCACAATTTTATAACTGTCTTTTTAACAATGTTTCAGATTTTATTATCATTGCTGCATTTTATTTGTTCATTTGTTTAAAGGGAAACATGACACATTACTTAGGCTATTTTAATATAATGGCGACTGGTCCAGTCTATAATCCTATTTGTCCTACAACTAATCACATAGATTGTAACTGAAGCACCATCGTCAGGATGGCCAATTGGTAAACCTTTCCCCAGACATGTACACAAAGTATAAGGATGCAGACCAATGACAACATGCCGGAACCCAGGGGTGAGAAGATGTCAAGGTGCTCACACAACGCTCACGTAATTACCTCGAGGTCCTCCTCGCCCACCTCCTGCACAGACACAGGTTCTCATATCAATACTCACTGTCTTCACATCATCTATCATTGTATCAGCTCATTGTTCCCAGCTTCCTAATTACACATATATCAGGGGCCACAATATGTCTACATCACATACATATACATGGCAATACGATATATATCACCACACTTGCGTCATGTTACGACATGTATAATGATACTTGAGTTATGATACGATAAGTATTTTGACACTTGAGTCATGGTACGATACGTGTCACGATACAAAACTTCAGCTGTTTTTGAAAACACTTCCCCATGGTCCAAGTTGCCTTGCTAACTAGGGATTGTTACTATCAGCTTAACTAAAATGACTCAAATTAGACTTATGATATCCTACAATCAGATTCAGAACTTTGTTTTACTGTGTAGTAAAGTAATGCATGCCCGAGCAACTGTCCGTGTAGGACATCACAAAACGTAAATATTACTTTTTGAAAACCCATTCAGCCCTAAAACATGAATCATGTCAATATTAATGTTTTAAAATCGATACAAACATAAAACATAAACTGATACATGGGTAGGTGTATCATGTATCATATCGGCAGCTGTAAATGCATTGATACCTCAATGAATTGTGACAACTCTAATATATGTGCCACTATATGTATTATGCGTATTCTATCCCATCTAAATTCTACATCACATATTTATCTACAGATTCAAACGTTTATCACAATGTACATTTCAATGGGATTTCAATCTCCTGGCTACAGCGACTCTTGTTTTCTGAAACCTTAGCATGTTAAATGAAGGCCACAATAGATTATCAACCAAATGTTGCAAATATCAGGTTGAGGTTTCAAATACCAAATTGTGGTTTCAAATATCTGGTTGCGGCTTCAAGTACCAGATGAGGTTTCAAATACCAGGTTGAGGTTTCAATTACCAGGTTGTGCTTTCAAATATCAAGCTGTGGCTTCAAATATCATTTGTGGTTTTTCAAATATCATGTTGTAGCTTCAAATATCTGGTTGTGGCTTCAAATACCAGGTTGAGGTTTCAAATATCAAGCAGTGGCTTCAAATACTATTTGTGGTATAAATATCATTTAACATACAAGATTGTGTTGCCATACTGGTACAGGCAATCTTTAACATTCTAGTGACCGCTGTATGTCTGATTTGGAAATCTCCATCAGAAGGATAAATGAGGCCATTAAGTATTTTTCTTGTTACTTCATTTAAGGGGAAACAAATTCTAAGTCTCAAGTCCTGTGTATCCTTTTTTTCTTTCTTAAGGGAATGGTTGAAGAACAATAAAACAATTGCAAATTCCTGCATGTATTTCTTTCTTGATGAGTGAGTGAGTGAGTGAGTAAGGTTTTACGCCGCTTTTAGCAATATTCCAGCAATATCACGGCGGGGGACACCAGAAATGGGCTTCACACATTGTACCCATGTCGGGAATCGAACCCGGGTCTTCGGCGTGACGAGCGAACGCTTTAACCACTAGGCTACCCGACCGCCCCCTTTCTTGATGACAAGTCATGGAGCTCTTCAGTCCTGTTCTATATCAGAGAGAATATCCTTCACTGATATTTCTTAAAAGGCTTTGTCCAAAGACAAGAAGAGTGTCTATAAAATCAAATTGTAGTCCGCACTTTGAAAACAAGGGGTTGGTCATTTACAAAGTAACAAAATTTAAAACCTTATTGTGCAAAGTGTTACTTTGAATTTGAAAAGTTTCAAATCTATGATGTTTGAGATAACAAAAGTCCACTATACAAGACCCTAACGGAGACAACTGAACATCTACCAATACTAGAGAGCCAGTAGATAGCTTCCCCTGGGGTGTAGGGAGGTAAAAGACACCTTGGTTTAAGAGACACAGCACCAGGCCCCAGGTACAACATGTTCAATGGCTGTCTTACTGTTACTGGTTAACGAGATTGAATGTATCACTCAGCAAAGTCATAGGCAGCGCGGTTACCACTGACCTGATTGCCGGCACGCCGCTCGATCGTCTGGAAATTAGTAAAATAAAACAAAAATTACATTAGATTGTTATTTAAGAAGACAAGTCCGGCAAGTATTAGTTATTGATACCTTGCTGCCTCCCTCTGAATCCTCCCCTCTCAACACATACATGATAAAAAGGTCGAGCAACATGTTTTGAATTATTCTTTGAAAGGGATAAGATCCTTGGTAAAGACCCTCCTCACTTCAGAAAGAAGGATTACTTTTTAAATATGAAAGACACCCTTTTCACCCAAATAAGGGAAAGAAAGAATAACTACATTGTCAATCTTTGCACACCAAATACTGAATATGGAATATATATTCATACTTGTTTTATGTATGCTACTCAAAAGAAGTCAAAGAACATCCAATTTGTTCCTATGACTAGTTAATCTGTCATGCCATGCTCCTCAACTTCTTTTGAGTAACATATATACTCTGTGTATTGGAGGAGCACCATGCATGCTTCAACTTACCCTATCAAAAAATTTGGTCAGCTTCACTGCATTGGTTGTGGCTGGGGCTAAATATTTGACTTGCATACAATCCTGAAAACCACAAACATTCTTCATTATATAACAGCATGGGTTATGCAAGACATGCATTGTAATGTAATGATGGATATGAGCACCCGTGAAGATCTGGGAAAGAATTGGTCTTCAGCAACCCATGCTTGCCGTAAAAGGCTCGCTGACTTGGCTGATCCATGTCATCATATCCCCATTGCGTGGATCGACGCTCATGATGTTAATCACTGGATTGTCTGGCCCAAACTCGATTATTTACTGACCGCCATCATATAGCTGGAATATTGCTCAGTGCAGTGTTAAACAACAAACAAACAAAAAAACCAAAAAAATATGGATATGAGACGTTTTTTTCGTGTGAACCCCCGACCATGCAGCGCCACCTACCAGGTTCAGCTCATCAGCGCCACATTCCTCGGCTATGGAGGAGTATTTATCGTAAGTGCGTGTGTCCTCGCGGAGGCTCTGGGCCAGGTCGGCCTTGCTGCCCACCACCAGGATAGGGATCTGGTTCCCTGCAAACTGCTCAGGGTCAAACTCATACCTGAAATAAGTTCTAGATAAAATAGTTAACATAGTTATTATACGTAATTACTGTGACTTATAATAAATCTGTTAACTTTATTATGATGTAGAGTGCTGTAACTAGTGTATGTGTAGTGGGGGCACTTATGACAACCATGCACATTGAGAAATGTTATATTTGGGATAACACTTTCATAGTAAAGTACAGATACTCATACTTTTTTTGGTTTAGTCCCATATGGGATTCGAACCCCCATTGCTAGAGTGACGCACCTAGTCGCCAGCACACAAAGTCAGCAATCTAACCCACTCAGCCATCGAGGCTTCCACAAAAATGAAAGTCCCGGATGTGACTCAACCAAATAAAAGTATTAGAATCTGTGCTTTACTCAGAAAGTGTTATCCCAAATATACCATTTGTAACATTTGACCACTTTCTAAATGGCATGCGTGTGTTCATGCTCACTGAGTTAAAGAAATATTCGGAGAATGATTGTAGTGAACAAAGTTAGTTCAAACATCAGTGAATCTGGCAGACTTTTTGGATGACAGTCACTGAGCTGTTATTTGTTTCTTCTACGGTGCTGTTTTCTGTAAAAAGATCCACATTAAATAAGTACAGACTATCAAGTATATTTGAGGTCATAATAGAGGGCGCTTACAAAGATTTCCAACAGGTTGATCTTAAAGTGATCAGGGGACGCTTATTAGAACAGGTCGGTAATACGGTAAATATGTTCTGTGAGACTGACAGGCTGACGGGAGGCTACACTGTCAGTTCCACCTGCTGAACACACGACCATACAGCTCATTCCACCACCAGTGCAGGGCAGTGTTGTATATTATATGGACAATGAAATATTTTGTACATGAACTTAATAATTGTTGGATAGCTTAGGACTGGATGTGACATTAAGCACATACACTCTTAATGAAGATGTACACTGCTGATCAAGACACTGGGAGTGACACACCATGAGCTACTGTCACAGGCACCCATCAACTGGGACACTTTCAACAACCAGGCCACCTGTGCATGCCGGTTTGTTCCTGATCATTCCTGTGTTGTGGGGAGTTTGAACCCCTTGGCCAGGACGCAGCAAGACCTGATCTCAGCCTTAAGGGATACTCCACTCAAAGACTAGGGCCCTTTTTCTCCCAAGTTGTAGACATTGTACAGGGTTAGAAGTAACTAAAAAGCTTCACTAGCCCGGGTAACGATAAAATGCCCTTGTGATGTAAAAACAATGGGAAAATTGGAAAATTGGTACTAGGCCACAGGAAGTTGTACTAGGCCACAGGAAGTTGTACTAGCCCACAGGAAGTTGTACTAGCCCTGGCAAGTAGTGGACTAGGGTAAAGTTCTGACCCTGTTGTAACCAAAATTATTTGTGAAACAGATATTATCTCTTTGTAGTTAAAGTACCTATTGTCTGTTAGATTGACAACCGAATATATATACTTTTAAAACTACTTAAAAACATATATTCAATCGAGAAATTTATTGCTATAAAAAAGCATGACAAAATAACTTTAACAAAAAATGGTCACTTTTATCCTCAGCATTTGATTCTTTGCTCTCTGTTGCTATGTTTGAGTCTGATTGTGTTTTCCAACCCTTTAATTTTTAAACAGTGTATTGTGTCATTCTATGCAATCCGAAATATGTTTTTGACGGAATACTGTATTAATCTAGAACTCTGGGAACAATAAAAGTTAAAAATAAAAACACAATTTTTTTTGTTAGATTGACCTTCATAATCTTTGAACAAACCAACAACACGGGCTTCAATGGACTCAAATCAAACATCCTGGGACTGGCAAAGAGCCCGCGTCTGGCACTCCTAGTGTCCTTGCCCACGTGTATTGATATCTGCAGTCATTCACATGACACCGCGCCAGGCATGCAGGGATTAAATGTCTCACCCGTTGCCTTTCTGTGATGAGTCCCGGTTGAGGACCTCCGCCAGCCACTTCCTGATGTTCTGATGGGACTTCCTGTTTGTCAAGTCATGGACCAGAATAATGCCTGTGCCAACATCGATAGGAAAGTGTGTGAGTCGGGTTTAATACTGCTGTGAACATTAGTACACTTAGCAAACCAAACCAAACTAGATTGCACCCTGGTCCCATAAACTTATCACAGTTGAAACATAGGCTGGTCAGCTGCCAGGATCACATAAATTACTGATGCATTTGTAGCGGCCATAACATTTCCAAGTCCCGTGATGGGATTCGAACCACGGACCTTCTGATCCGAGGTCGGACGCCTTGTCCACATGACCAAAGAGGTTAACCCTGTCAGCCCCTGAAAGTATGACAAATTACACATAACACAGGAATTAGTGATGTAGTATGGTAAATAAATTTTAGAGGCATTGAGTGTGTTCCACGATTGATTATGTGTGTGGACAAGTAAGGGGCAGAAATTTTTGTACATGCACTTGGTGCATGTAGACGTAACTATTAGGCTGCATTTTGCAATAATAGGTTGCACTGTTGCATGTTTATATAGTTAAATCAAGCCCTGGGGAGGTGTTCTGTTTTCCTTTTTTATCCATGACATAACGCACGATACAGCTGGATATCACCGGGCTCATCATGTGGCAGGAAGCCCAGAGTGATGCAGGTCATAGAAGTTTACAACTTTGCTGAAACTAGGGGTATGGTGCTGACAGTTCAAGGGCAAATTTACAGATCCTGGCACCTCAAAGGGGCATAAATCTGCACCTGATGACTTAAATCAGTGGTTCTCTAGAACAGTTCAACTATTTTCCGTCAACAAGGAAGAACTGCAGCTCAACCGTGAGAACATCCTTCATTACAGATCTCCCTGGTACTAATGGGACTGGTTTTACGTGATGCACAAATGTAAAGAATGGACGCAGAAAAAAAAATACTGTGTCCCAAGGGACGCAAAATAATATTCATTGTATTGGGTGTCTGTCATCCATCAGTCAGGACCACTGTCCACATGATCAGTGATTCTTTCCAGGCTCTAAAAATTACCTAACCACACATTACACTACAGCATTTCATTTTTTACAGGACCCTCATACTACCCTTAAAATTAATTATTGGGGGTCCCCTCGACCCCCACTTTGTAAGTCATGGTAAAACCCCCATGGGAATTTCACACCTGTAAATAAGAATGCTCCCATGGTCTAGTGGGTGAAGCGTCTGCCCTGTAGAGGGTTAACAGTTCGATCTCCAGCTATGTCAAATGAAAAGATGTTAAAAGATTGTACTTGTTGTTTCCCTGTCTTTGCACTCAGCATTAAGGAGATACAACAAGGATGGCCGGATCGGAGTCAGTACACTGTTTCTGAGTGTGGTATCCATGTTAAATCTGCAGCATAGTATTTCAGTGGGTCAGCTCTATATACCAGCATGCACATCGCTATAGAAGTGCAATTGTTTTGAAGGACTAAAGACGGCCACTAAAATTGTAAAGGGAGTATCTTGTGCAATAAACTTTGTACTCTGTATAGAATCATCACGTTCTAAACATACCGTTTACTGAGTTATAGAAGATGGATCGGCTGTTCTGGTGACTGGCAGACCCCCCGATGTCCCACAGTTCTACAAAGTACGTCTTCTCATTGGGCAGTCCCGCTCTATACTCATGAAGCTGAGGATTAAGCAACAAAAGCCGGTACATGTATGCAGAATGATGCATGTTGGGAAGATCAATGGAGTTTTCTTTTGACGTTATCAGTAACATTGCTATTCTAAATTATTGACAGAATTTTATTAACCAGAGAAAAACACTTGCTTGTTTTCAATTGTGGCGATTTGTTCATTTCCTCTCAAGAGTTATATAAAAGTTATAGGACAACTACAGGCCTGTTCTTGTTCTTGTCAGTATATTTACGTTATAAAAGACACACATACACATCTCTGTGGCACACTTGAACAAGCACATGTGACCCCTGACAAAGTGTATGCGAGTGAAACAGTGAAGGAGACCAGTGCCAGGGATTTATCTAGGATTCATAGCAATTTGGCATCTTCCTGAGGCAAGGGAGTTAACTGACTATAAAAGTCCAGTTTCAACCCTTGCGCAACTTGGCTGGAAATATGGAGTTATATTCTGGCTAGACTAAGGAGTCTATGCATAGTCCAATCAAAATCGGATAGCTAAAACGACACTCGTATCAAAAACAACATGGCGACTGCCATTTAGATTTTGGTCAATTGCAGAATTTGAAGAGTGTGTGTATTGTCAACTGGGCATTGACAGATTTTTCCAAATCTTTTCATGTTTTTAATAAAGGTGCTCAAGTGATGTGATGTATTTTGCGAGGTAAGGCTAATTTTGTGACAAAATAGACCTTGATTATTGATCAGAAAGTCTTGACTCGGCGCCGCCATTTTGTTTGACGCAAATGCATGAGATGTGGAATCTGATTGGTCAATAGGAGGGATATAGAGGGGACATAACTTGTGATTGCCACTGGTGGTGCTACGATCGAGCATCCAAATTCCAGTTCGGCAAGGATGGAGACTGGACTTTTAGAGTCAGTTAACTCCCTTGCCATGGCAATTTGGGAAAAAATAGTTGTTTTATTCAAAATTTGGATTTTTAAACAGTTCTTTTGTTCTTAAATTCAGACCAGACCAGGCATGCAAAACATACAGACATGTTCCTGACTTGATAATTGCTTTCTCTCTTCCTGTAGATGAAATTTAGGTAGCCTAACCACATAAGTAATCACTGGATCAATCGTAATCAATCATTGTCATCAACTGTCAAAATACTCATCCAGGTCCTTACATTCCTACTTCGGAAGGAATATTATTGTAACTGGAATATAATTTGATTGTCTTTAATCCCCAACACTCCATGCCTGGCATAATATTATACAGATGATTTCTAACTGAAAAACATCAATGCAATTGGAGTTTGGGTATCTGTACTTTGGTAATAAGTAAACAGACCGGGTAAACAAAATACTTTCATCCCCAAAAGTTGAGTTACCTTTACTTCCACTGAGCAGCCAATTGTTGCAGAGGGGTTTGATTGTGGTTCATTGTGACAGATCAGATGGACTAGTGATGTTTTACCCACACCTGCAATAAAGAACAGTTATGACTTGGGTGTGCTGTGCTGGGTACATTGTTAGATTCCACAGGTCCATCACATCCTGTTTCTTCAAACTCATTGTCAGGCACACAACTCTGAAATGTGTACCGGGTACCTACTTTTATTTTTTGTTTGTTTTCCATTAAATCTGAGACGTAACCTGAATTTATTTGAATAATTTGTGATGCTGATGCAACGATATAAGCTAAACTCACTCACTACAGGTAATAGGATTGGTTTTGTTTTGATTTAGATGGATTTCTGATATGCATAATCTAACTGGATAGGAAGTTAGAAAGTTTATATTTGTATGAAATCTCACAGAGCAATGCTACAGTGACAATGTAAGAACAAGATGAAAGTGGGTTTTTTCCCAATTGTTATGTCTTAGAAGGCAGGAAAGTAGACATCAAAATCTTCACTCTGGCATAGATAATGGGCATGGGATAAGATAAAAAATTAACAATATTGCAAACTATTCTATCAGAGTGTGTGTGCATGCCCTTATGTGACAACCTGTGTCAATTCCCCTACTATTTTTTGTTCACTTCAAGATTTGTATTTGTGACCCACTGTATTTTTTCCACAAAAACCTGTATCCATCTCTCTGTATAGTTACATCCCTTGCCAGTGTCTGGATCCAAATCCAGGCTGACCATAGGTTCACACCCTAAATCCACTCTGATCAGAATCCAGTGAAACGATTAAAGGTCAATCAGCTGCGTCTCTGATTAATCTGTAATAGTCCGTTGTAACTGAAATACTGTTCAGAGCTATCTTACTCAAACGCAGTTGCATCGATTTAGCAGACAGCCAAAGGGAAATAACCCCAAACGTATCACTATTCACTTTTCTTGCTGACGTGGCAATCAAATTCTGTTGACATACGGCTTTGCAGAATTTGGGTAATGTTTGGTTTGGAGCTTGAGTAGAATATGTAGAGTCTACCGTCAAGTTCATTGTCATCTTACCAGAATCGCCGACCACTACAACTTTAACTTTGTCTATCGCTGCCATCTTGCCTACTTCCCGTTTCTGGCCTCGGTTAGTATCCGTGGTGCGAGGAGCTCTCACTTCATCATTCGGAAAGTCTCGTAACTTTTCGGGTGTTTAAGTGAGTGGCGTAGCCTAAAACGGCAACCAATCAAATTAACATCGTGTTATTTGCTTAAAACGTCGCTATTTGGATTCATTAATCTGAACTGCTAACATATATAGGTTTCTAAAATTGGTAATAGAATTCGCATCGTTTTGTGGCGTTCAAAAAGGTATGTTCAACAAATGTAATTGATTAAAATCTGGTGCATGCCCAAAACTTTGGATTTTACTTCCAAAGATCTACTTTTCAGAAATAAAAGGACACTTATGTTATATTGCACCAAATTTTGGTTCAGACAAGATCGTCACTCTTTATTTCACCGACGGCGGAGCTGTGCCAAAGATGTTATGAATAATTTGCGATGCGTCATTTAGGTCGTGGTGCTGATTTAGTATGGATACCCAAAGGTCGGTGGTGAATATCCAATTGACGGGTTATCGAAAAGTGCAAATGCCATGGAAATTATTATTTCCTTTATAGTGGATAAGAATGAATCATCCATATAACTAAAATAATCTATGTAATATTTAATATTTTATCACCAGCGCTAATCCAGCAAAGCCTATAATACACGTTATTCCCCCAGCCTCCACCCAAAACAGGGCGATGGGTTTTTGATAAAACCTCAAAAGGGAGGTAACACAAATTTCAAAATGGCGTCGAAAATTATTTTGCGGGAAATATTTTCATAAAGTTATTGTTTGTTGTTTTGACCCTTCTCCTGGAATATACAGCACAACCCCATTTTTAAATTTACATGTGATCGACTGCGAAGGCGAAGGTCGTGAAAGTAGAAAAAGGATTCACCCCTGGAGCTTCCACGACAACAAACACAAAAGTAGGCTGGATTCAAATAGTATCAGGATATTTAAAACATTCCAAGTTTATCTCAGGAGCTAACTCCTATCTGTCGGCGGCTGCTGTGGTGGAGAGTTAGGCACAACCTACCAAAAACAAACACGCCCGAAGCAAAATATAATGATACATATATCATAAAAACACTTATCTTTGCGATTAAATCCAATGCAATTTAATCTTTGTTGAAAAACACTTGTCATGAAATCATACATTGTAACACACTAAACAAGTTAGGGCTGGGACGATTCCAAATTTACTACCCGGTACCCGCTGTAGGTCTCAAGAGATGGGTACAAAATGTCTGATTGGGAAACGTTTGACTGTACTCCTTTCAAAATAAATTTAGATGGAACATGTGTAAACTGATCTGGTCATGCATACACTGATATTGACTAAGTTCTATCTTTATGCAAACGTATAAAGTCAGAAGGAATGTGAACATTTGTCACTTATCATGCTTATAGTGAAACAATAAAGTTCTAGATAATTGTTGCCATTAAACAATATAATCACGTGACTGATAACAGGCATATACTGCCCAGCATTTTATAACCACATGTTGACTTTAAAACGGTCAGTATCAAGTGATTTATCTGAAGGGCTTTTGTGAATCAGACACATGTTTTGCTTGTCAGTGTTTCTGAGTAATTGGATGAGAAGATCTAACTTTACTTGAATGTTTTTGTAGAGTACAAACAATTCCATAATGGATACTGATGTGGCAACTGAAGTTCCGGACTCCCTCAAGCGACTGATCCGGCTGATAGTGCGGGGATTTTATACAGTTGAAACAGCCATTGTTATAGACATGCTGGTGAGGAATCCCTGCATTAAGGAGGATGATATGTTGGAGTTGCTCAAGTTTGAGAGGAAACAACTTCGAGCAATTGTCAACTCCTTGAAAGTAGACAAAATACTGAAAGTGAGGATGAGGGTTGAAACTGATAGAGAAGGAAAAACCACAAGACACAATTATTATTTCATCAACTACAATGTGTTTGTGAATGTGGTCAAATATAAACTAGACCACATGAGAAGAAAGATTGAACTTGAGGAACGCGATAACACAAGTCGTGCCTCGTTTAAATGTCCGAACTGTTTAAAGTCATTTACTGACTTGGAGGTTGGGCAGCTTGTAGACCCAATGACAGGCTCCTTACAGTGCACCTACTGCCACACAGAGGTGGAGGAGGATGAGAGCTCCATGCCGAAGAAGGATGCTCGCACCACCATGGCCAAATTTAATGAACAGATTCAGGTTATTTATGACTTACTACGGGATTGTGAGGATATCAAACTTGCACCTGAAATCTTAGAACCTGAACCCATTGACATCACAAAGTTATTACCAAGGTAAGTTATGTGTCAATAATCCCTTTTTGCATGTGTTGTTTTACTGTCATCATGGTCATATTCATAATGATAATCATGATATCGAGGATGAAATCGGGTGGTCGGGTAGCCCAGTGGTTAAAGCATTCGCTCGTCATGCGGAAGACTCGGGTTCGATTCCCGACATGGGTACAATGTGTGAAGCCCATTTCTGGTGTCCCCCGCCGTGATATTGCTGGAATATTGATCAAAGCGGCGTAAAACCCTACTCACTCACTCACGAGGTTGAAATCAATATTTCATGACTTTAATGCAGAGGTAGAGAGGCAGAGGTTTCATGGTAGGTATATGAACATGAGGAACCATAATTACTGATGCAGTGGGATTACCATGATTACGAAATATAAATATATTCAGGTTCCTGTGAGTAGTTTGAGCATTTTGTGTTAAAATCACCTTTGCATCAGCATCATCTCAGCCGTATGCATGATATAGTGACTGCAGATTGTGATTATTGGTTATCATGATGTATTGTGTTTAGCATGTTTAGTTTTGAACAATTTCATTAAAATCAGATCTTAGTTCTTGCTACCACTAAACAAAGATCTGAGGACATCCCATTAGAGGTCACGTCAGAACGACCTTTCATCCAACCAATCAGAGCGTCGCTTACCAGATCATGAAAGTGACAGTCGGAATGTGATTTTTAATCATGCAACCTCAAAAACTTAACTTCGGGTATTCCGAACGATAGTTGCGGGCTTAACGACTGAACGCATACAATCTAGACCATCTATTAGTCATTCCAGAATGTTCTTTTGTATAGGTTTCAATCTCATTAAAATCAGATCTCAGTTCAAGCTATTGCTAAACAAAGATCTGAGGACATCCCATTACGGGTCATGTCAGAACGACCTTTCATCCGACCAATCAAAGCGTTGCTTACCAGATCATGAAAGTGACAGTCGGAATGTGTTTTCTAATCACGCAAACTCGAAAATGTTAACACAGTGTATTCCGAACGACTGTTACAGCCCGTACGATTGATTCTGTCAAAATTATCGTCTATCTTTCGCTGCCGTGGGATTAACATTTGAACGGAGGAGGCGTTGCACAGTTCGTGGGAAACACTGCCATACAATCTCAACCGTATATTAGACATTCCGGAATGTTCGTTTGTTGTTTTCAAAATTTTAATCAAGAACTGTGTCAACATATTTTTCAAGCGTAGTCTGAAATGGAAGTCGTCAGGTTGAAACGAGTGCCGTAAAGCTCGAGAAAGCTGCTTTCTAATTGGCTGATGTCGACTTCTTTTTAGTCATTTCAGTGGTCAGTCAAAGTTCGCGAAAGGTCGTTCTGACGTGACCCGTAATGGGATGTCCTCAGATCTTTGTTTAGTGGCAGCGAGAACTTATATCTGATTTTAATGAGATTGCCTTCCGATTGCCTATGTCGACTTCTTGTCCGTCATTCCATTGGTCGGTCATAGATCGTGCAAGGTTGGTCTGACGTTACCCGTAATGGGGTGTTCGCAGATCTTTGTTTAGTGGCAGCGAGAACTTATATCTGATTTTAATGAGATTGCCTTCCGATTGGCTAATGTCGACTTCTTGTCCGTCATTCCATTGGTCGGTCATAGTTCGTGCAAGGTTGGTCTGACGTGACCCGTAATGGGGTGTTCGCAGATCTTTGTTTAGTGGCAGCGAGAACATATATCTGATTTTAATGAGATTGCCTTCCGATTGGCTAATGTCGACTTCTTGTCCGTCATTCCATTGGTCGGTCATAGTTCGTGCAAGGTTGGTCTGACGTGACCCGTAATGGGGTGTTCGCAGATCTTTGTTTAGTGGCAGCGAGAACATATATCTGATTTTAATGAGATTGCCTTCCGATTGGCTAATGTCGACTTCTTGTCCGTCATTCCATTGGTCGGTCATAGTTCGTGCAAGGTTGGTCTGACGTGACCCGTAATGGGGTGTTCGCAGATCTTTGTTTAGTGGCAGCGAGAACATATATCTGATTTTAATGAGATTGCCTTCCGATTGGCTAATGTCGACTTCTTGTCCGTCATTCCATTGGTCGGTCATAGTTCGTGCAAGGTTGGTCTGACGTGACCCGTAATGGGGTGTTCGCAGATCTTTGTTTAGTGGCAGCGAGAACATATATCTGATTTTAATGAGATTGCCTTCCGATTGGCCAATGTCGACTTCTTGTCCGTCATTCCATTGGTCGGTCATAGTTCGTGCAAGGTTGGTCTGACGTGACCCGTAATGGGGTGTTCGCAGATCTTTGTTTAGTGGCAGCGAGAACATATATCTGATTTTAATGAGATTGCCTTCCGATTGGCTAATGTCGACTTCTTGTCCGTCATTCCATTGGTCGGTCATAGTTCGTGCAAGGTTGGTCTGACGTGACCCGTAATGGGGTGTTCGCAGATCTTTGTTTAGTGGCAGCGAGAACATATATCTGATTTTAATGAGATTGCCTTCCGATTGGCTAATGTCGACTTCTTGTCCGTCATTCCATTGGTCGGTCATAGTTCGTGCAAGGTTGGTCTGACGTGACCCGTAATGGGGTGTTCGCAGATCTTTGTTTAGTGGCAGCGAGAACATATATCTGATTTTAATGAGATTGCCTTCCGATTGGCTAATGTCGACTTCTTGTCCGTCATTCCATTGGTCGGTCATAGTTCGTGCAAGGTTGGTCTGACGTGACCCGTAATGGGGTGTTCGCAGATCTTTGTTTAGTGGCAGCGAGAACATATATCTGATTTTAATGAGATTGCCTTCCGATTGGCTAATGTCGACTTCTTGTCCGTCATTCCATTGGTCGGTCATAGTTCGTGCAAGGTTGGTCTGACGTGACCCGTAATGGGGTGTTCGCAGATCTTTGTTTAGTGGCAGCGAGAACATATATCTGATTTTAATGAGATTGCCTTCCGATTGGCTAATGTCGACTTCTTGTCCGTCATTCCATTGGTCGGTCATAGTTCGTGCAAGGTTGGTCTGACGTGACCCGTAATGGGGTGTTCGCAGATCTTTGTTTAGTGGCAGCGAGAACATATATCTGATTTTAATGAGATTGCCTTCCGATTGGCTAATGTCGACTTCTTGTCCGTCATTCCATTGGTCGGTCATAGTTCGTGCAAGGTTGGTCTGACGTTACCCGTAATGGGGTGTTCGCAGATCTTTGTTTAGTGGCAGCGAGAACTTATATCTGATTTTAATGAGATTGCCTTCCGATTGGCTAATGTCGACTTCTTGTCCGTCATTCCATTGGTCGGTCATAGTTCGTGCAAGGTTGGTCTGACGTGACCCGTAATGGGGTGTTCGCAGATCTTTGTTTAGTGGCAGCGAGAACATATATCTGATTTTAATGAGATTGCCTTCCGATTGGCTAATGTCGACTTCTTGTCCGTCATTCCATTGGTCGGTCATAGTTCGTGCAAGGTTGGTCTGACGTGACCCGTAATGGGGTGTTCGCAGATCTTTGTTTAGTGGCAGCGAGAACATATATCTGATTTTAATGAGATTGCCTTCCGATTGGCTAATGTCGACTTCTTGTCCGTCATTCCATTGGTCGGTCATAGTTCGTGCAAGGTTGGTCTGACGTGACCCGTAATGGGGTGTTCGCAGATCTTTGTTTAGTGGCAGCGAGAACATATATCTGATTTTAATGAGATTGCCTTCCGATTGGCTAATGTCGACTTCTTGTCCGTCATTCCATTGGTCGGTCATAGTTCGTGCAAGGTTGGTCTGACGTGACCCGTAATGGGGTGTTCGCAGATCTTTGTTTAGTGGCAGCGAGAACATATATCTGATTTTAATGAGATTGCCTTCCGATTGGCCAATGTCGACTTCTTGTCCGTCATTCCATTGGTCGGTCATAGTTCGTGCAAGGTTGGTCTGACGTGACCCGTAATGGGGTGTTCGCAGATCTTTGTTTAGTGGCAGCGAGAACATATATCTGATTTTAATGAGATTGCCTTCCGATTGGCTAATGTCGACTTCTTGTCCGTCATTCCATTGGTCGGTCATAGTTCGTGCAAGGTTGGTCTGACGTGACCCGTAATGGGGTGTTCGCAGATCTTTGTTTAGTGGCAGCGAGAACATATATCTGATTTTAATGAGATTGCCTTCCGATTGGCTAATGTCGACTTCTTGTCCGTCATTCCATTGGTCGGTCATAGTTCGTGCAAGGTTGGTCTGACGTGACCCGTAATGGGGTGTTCGCAGATCTTTGTTTAGTGGCAGCGAGAACATATATCTGATTTTAATGAGATTGCCTTCCGATTGGCTAATGTCGACTTCTTGTCCGTCATTCCATTGGTCGGTCATAGTTCGTGCAAGGTTGGTCTGACGTGACCCGTAATGGGGTGTTCGCAGATCTTTGTTTAGTGGCAGCGAGAACATATATCTGATTTTAATGAGATTGCCTTCCGATTGGCTAATGTCGACTTCTTGTCCGTCATTCCATTGGTCGGTCATAGTTCGTGCAAGGTTGGTCTGACGTGACCCGTAATGGGGTGTTCGCAGATCTTTGTTTAGTGGCAGCGAGAACATATATCTGATTTTAATGAGATTGCCTTCCGATTGGCTAATGTCGACTTCTTGTCCGTCATTCCATTGGTCGGTCATAGTTCGTGCAAGGTTGGTCTGACGTGACCCGTAATGGGGTGTTCGCAGATCTTTGTTTAGTGGCAGCGAGAACATATATCTGATTTTAATGAGATTGCCTTCCGATTGGCTAATGTCAACTTCTTGTCCGTCATTCCATTGGTCGGTCATAGTTCGTGCAAGGTTGGTCTGACGTGACCCGTAATGGGGTGTTCGCAGATCTTTGTTTAGTGGCAGCGAGAACATATATCTGATTTTAATGAGATTGCCTTCCGATTGGCTAATGTCGACTTCTTGTCCGTCATTCCATTGGTCGGTCATAGTTCGTGCAAGGTTGGTCTGACGTGACCCGTAATGGGGTGTTCGCAGATCTTTGTTTAGTGGCAGCGAGAACATATATCTGATTTTAATGAGATTGCCTTCCGATTGGCTAATGTCGACTTCTTGTCCGTCATTCCATTGGTCGTTCATAGTTCGTGCAAGGTTGGTCTGACGTGACCCGTAATGGGGTGTTCGCAGATCTTTGTTTAGTGGCAGCGAGAACATATATCTGATTTTAATGAGATTGCCTTCCGATTGGCTAATGTCGACTTCTTGTCCGTCATTCCATTGGTCGGTCATAGTTCGTGCAAGGTTGGTCTGACGTGACCCGTAATGGGGTGTTCGCAGATCTTTGTTTAGGGGTAGCGAGAACTACATGTAAGAAGTAAGATCTGATTTTAATGAGATTGAGATTTGAAGGATATAAAATGGTTTGGGAAAACATCCAACATATATGGATTACTGTGATGCTCATGGAAATTTACATGACCTGCAGGGCACCAAGTGACAAGAACAGGCCAAACATTGATGCTGAAAAGATGGTCTGGAGTGGGGAACTGTCTCGGAACAACCGCTTCGGCTACACAGACAACAGCATCACCATCAGCATGGATGAGGATGAAAAGAAGACGACAGTGCAGAAGAAGGAGGTGCCAGAATGGATGGCCAAGAGCACGGTGGAGGGTGCCACAGTCACTGACTCACAGGTAACATCATCACCAGATACTGTCTCACTGAACGCTCTACGTAGTAGTTTAACCTTTAAACATTCCATACCTTTTATCATGTTTATGTAACATGAATTATTTGTGCGATGGAGGAGAGATTCCAGGTTACAATAGGTCCCTTGTGGCCCTCCTGTCTGATGGAGGAGAGATTTCAGGTTACAATAGGTCCCTTGTGGCCCTCCTGTCTGATGGAGGAGAGATTCCAGGTTACAATAGGTCCCTTGTGGCCCTCCTGTCTGATGGAGGAAAGATTCCATGCTACAATAGGTCCCTTGTGGCCCTCCTGTCTGATGGAGGAAAGATTCTAGGCTACAATAGGTCCCTTGTGGCCCTCCTGTCTGATGGAGGAAAGATTCTCGGCTACAATAGGTCCCTTGTGGCCCTCCTGTACGATGGAGGAAAGATTCCAGGTTACAATAGGTCCCTTGTGGCCCTCCTGTAGGATGGAGGAGAGATTCCAGGTTACAATAGGTCCCTTGTGGCCCTCCTGTCTGATGGAGGAAAGATTCTAGGCTACAATAGGTCCCTTGTGGCCCTCCTGTACGATGGAGGAAAGATTCCAGGTTACAATAGGTCCCTTGTGGCCCTCCTGTACGATGGAGGAAAGATTCCAGGTTACAATAGGTCCCTTGTGGCCCTCCTGTAGGATGGAGGAGAGATTCCAGGTTACAATAGGTCCCCTGTGGCCCTCCTGTAGGATGGAGGAGAGATTCCAGGTTACAATAGGTCCCCTGTGGCCCTCCTGTAGGATGGAGGAGAGATTCCAGGTTACAATAGGTCCCTCGTGGCCCTCCTGTACGATGGAGTAGAGATTCCAGGTTCCAATAGGCCCCTTGTCCTGTACGATGGAGGAGAGATTCCAGGTTACAATAGGTCCCCTGTGGCCCTCCTGTACGATGGAGGAGAGATTCCAGGTTACAATAGGTCCCTTGTCCTCCTGTACGATGGAGGAGAGATTCCAGGTTACAATAGGTCCCTCGTGGCCCTCCTGTACGATGGAGTAGAGATTCCAGGTTCCAATAGGCCCCTTGTCCTGTACGATGGAGGAGAGATTCCAGGTTACAATAGGTCCCCTGTGGCCCTCCTGTACGATGGAGGAAAGATTCAAGGTTACAATAGGTCCCTTGTGACATGGTCAAACTCAGAGACTTGGTTGATTGCATGTCATCGTGACCCATGAAGATCCGGGTTAGAATATGTCTTCAGCAACCCATGCTTGTAGTAGCATGTCATCATATCCCAACTGCGTGGATCGATGCTCATGATGTCAATCACTAGCATGTCATCGTCCACCGATGATGTTGATTGTTGCTCCCAATATCAATCACTAGAATGCCTGGTCCAGAGCACATTAGTTAAAGGCTGTCAGGAAATAGCTGGAATCTTGCTGAGAGCAGCACAACATACACCAGAAATAATGCCAACATCTTCCCTCCATGTTTTTAGATGGAGAGCAGTTACGAGGCCGGTCCATCTCAGGACTTGTCTCAGCTGAATGCCAATGATGAGGTGATGAACGCCCTGCTGGTTCACGAGCAGTCCAAGCCGGGAGCTGGGCTCCGGGTCCCCACAGACAGGGTGGAAGACAACTCCAGCAGTTCATCGGAAGACGAAGCCCCCAAACCTGGCCCCTCACATGGAGGTATGTGTATTGTTATGTTTGTGTCACTGTATCAGAGAAACTTACCAACATCTCTCACGTTGGAGTAATGTTGTATGTGTGTGTTGTGTGTCACTGTATCAGGGAAACTTGCCAGCATCTCTCACGTTGGAGTAATGTTGTATGTGTGTGTTGTGTGTCACTGTATCAGAGAAACTTACCAACATCTCTCACGTTGGAGTAATGTTGTATGTGTGTGTTGTGTGTCACTGTATCAGGGAAACTTGCCAGCATCTCTCACATTGGAGTAATGTTGTATGTGTGTGTTGTGTGTCACTGTATCAGGGAAACTTGCCAGCATCTCTCACATTGGAGTAATGTTGTATGTGTGTGTTGTGTGTCACTGTATCAGGGAAACTTGCCAGCATCTCTCACATTGGAGTAATGTTGTATGTGTGTGTTGTGTGTCACTGTATCAGGGAAACTTGCCAGCATCTCTCACGTTGGAGTAATGTTGTATGTGTGTGTTGTGTGTCACTGTATCAGAGAAACTTACCAACATCTCTCACGTTGGAGTAATGTTGTATGTGTGTGTTGTGTGTCACTGTATCAGGGAAACTTGCCAGCATCTCTCACGTTGGAGTAATGTTGTATGTGTGTGTTGTGTGTCACTGTATCAGAGAAACTTACCAACATCTCTCACGTTGGAGTAATGTTGTATGTGTGTGTTGTGTGTCACTGTATCAGGGAAACTTGCCAGCATCTCTCACATTGGAGTAATGTTGTATGTGTGTGTTGTGTGTCACTGTATCAGGGAAACTTGCCAGCATCTCTCACATTGGAGTAATGTTGTATGTGTGTGTTGTGTGTCACTGTATCAGGGAAACTTGCCAGCATCTCTCACATTGGAGTAATGTTGTATGTGTGTGTTGTGTGTCACTGTATCAGGGAAACTTGCCAGCATCTCTCACGTTGGAGTAATGTTGTATGTGTGTGTTGTGTGTCACTGTATCAGGGAAACTTGCCAGCATCTCTCACGTTGGAGTAATGTTGTATGTGTGTGTTGTGTGTCACTGTATCAGGGAAACTTGCCAGCATCTCTCACGTTGGAGTAATGTTGTATGTGTGTGTTGTGTGTCACCGTATCAGGGAAACTTGCCAGCATCTCTCACGTTGGAGTAATGTTGTATGTGTGTGTTGTGTGTCACTGTATCAGGGAAACTTGCCAGCATCTCTCACGTTGGAGTAATGTTGTATGTGTGTGTTGTGTGTCACTGTATCAGGGAAACTTGCCAGCATCTCTCACGTTGGAGTAATGTTGTATGTGTGTGTTGTGTGTCACTGTATCAGGGAAACTTGCCAGCATCTCTCACGTTGGAGTAATGTTGTATGTGTGTGTGTCACTGTATCAGAGAAACTTACCAACATCTCTCACGTTGGAGTAATGTTGTATGTGTGTGTTGTGTGTCACTGTATCAGGGAAACTTGCCAGCATCTCTCACGTTGGAGTAATGTTGTATGTGTGTGTTGTGTGTCACTGTATCAGGGAAACTTGCCAGCATCTCTCACGTTGGAGTAATGTTGTATGTGTGTGTTGTGTGTCACTGTATCAGGGAAACTTACCAGCATCTCTCACGTTGGAGTAATGTTGTATGTGTGTGTTGTGTGTCACTGTATCAGGGAAACTTGCCAGCATCTCTCACGTTGGAGTAATGTTGTATGTGTGTGTTGTGTGTCACTGTATCAGGGAAACTTGCCAGCATCTCTCACGTTGGAGTAATGTTGTATGTGTGTGTGTCACTGTATCAGAGTAACTTACCAACATCTCTCATGTTGGAGTAATGTTGTATGTGTGTGTTGTGTGTCACTGTATCAGAGAAACTTGCCAGCATCTCTCACGTTGGAGTAATGTTGTATGTGTGTGTTGTGTGTCACTGTATCAGGGAAACTTACCAGCATCTCTCACGTTGGAGTAATGTTGTATGTGTGTGTTGTGTGTCACTGTATCAGGGAAACTTGCCAGCATCTCTCACGTTGGAGTAATGTTGTATGTGTGTGTTGTGTGTCACTGTATCAGGGAAACTTGCCAGCATCTCTCACATTGGAGTAATGTTGTATGTGTGTGTTGTGTGTCACTGTATCAGGGAAACTTGCCAGCATCTCTCACATTGGAGTAATGTTGTATGTGTGTGTTGTGTGTCACTGTATCAGGGAAACTTGCCAGCATCTCTCACATTGGAGTAATGTTGTATGTGTGTGTTGTGTGTCACTGTATCAGGGAAACTTGCCAGCATCTCTCACGTTGGAGTAATGTTGTATGTGTGTGTTGTGTGTCACTGTATCAGGGAAACTTGCCAGCATCTCTCACGTTGGAGTAATGTTGTATGTGTGTGTTGTGTGTCACTGTATCAGGGAAACTTGCCAGCATCTCTCACGTTGGAGTAATGTTGTATGTGTGTGTTGTGTGTCACTGTATCAGGGAAACTTGCCAGCATCTCTCACGTTGGAGTAATGTTGTATGTGTGTGTTGTGTGTCACTGTATCAGGGAAACTTGCCAGCATCTCTCACATTGGAGTAATGTTGTATGTGTGTGTTGTGTGTCACTGTATCAGGGAAACTTGCCAGCATCTCTCACGTTGGAGTAATGTTGTATGTGTGTGTGTCACTGTATCAGAGAAACTTACCAACATCTCTCACGTTGGAGTAATGTTGTATGTGTGTGTTGTGTGTCACTGTATCAGGGAAACTTGCCAGCATCTCTCACGTTGGAGTAATGTTGTATGTGTGTGTTGTGTGTCACTGTATCAGGGAAACTTGCCAGCATCTCTCACGTTGGAGTAATGTTGTATGTGTGTGTTGTGTGTCACTGTATCAGGGAAACTTACCAGCATCTCTCACGTTGGAGTAATGTTGTATGTGTGTGTTGTGTGTCACTGTATCAGGGAAACTTGCCAGCATCTCTCACGTTGGAGTAATGTTGTATGTGTGTGTTGTGTGTCACTGTATCAGGGAAACTTGCCAGCATCTCTCACGTTGGAGTAATGTTGTATGTGTGTGTGTCACTGTATCAGAGTAACTTACCAACATCTCTCATGTTGGAGTAATGTTGTATGTGTGTGTTGTGTGTCACTGTATCAGAGAAACTTGCCAGCATCTCTCACGTTGGAGTAATGTTGTATGTGTGTGTTGTGTGTCACTGTATCAGGGAAACTTACCAGCATCTCTCACGTTGGAGTAATGTTGTATGTGTGTGTTGTGTGTCACTGTATCAGGGAAACTTGCCAGCATCTCTCACGTTGGAGTAATGTTGTATGTGTGTGTTGTGTGTCACTGTATCAGGGAAACTTGCCAGCATCTCTCACATTGGAGTAATGTTGTATGTGTGTGTTGTGTGTCACTGTATCAGGGAAACTTGCCAGCATCTCTCACATTGGAGTAATGTTGTATGTGTGTGTTGTGTGTCACTGTATCAGGGAAACTTGCCAGCATCTCTCACATTGGAGTAATGTTGTATGTGTGTGTTGTGTGTCACTGTATCAGGGAAACTTGCCAGCATCTCTCACGTTGGAGTAATGTTGTATGTGTGTGTTGTGTGTCACTGTATCAGGGAAACTTGCCAGCATCTCTCACGTTGGAGTAATGTTGTATGTGTGTGTTGTGTGTCACTGTATCAGGGAAACTTGCCAGCATCTCTCACGTTGGAGTAATGTTGTATGTGTGTGTTGTGTGTCACTGTATCAGGGAAACTTGCCAGCATCTCTCACGTTGGAGTAATGTTGTATGTGTGTGTTGTGTGTCACTGTATCAGGGAAACTTGCCAGCATCTCTCACGTTGGAGTAATGTTGTATGTGTGTGTTGTGTGTCACTGTATCAGGGAAACTTGCCAGCATCTCTCACGTTGGAGTAATGTTGTATGTGTGTGTGTCACTGTATCAGAGAAACTTACCAACATCTCTCACGTTGGAGTAATGTTGTATGTGTGTGTTGTGTGTCACTGTATCAGGGAAACTTGCCAGCATCTCTCACGTTGGAGTAATGTTGTATGTGTGTGTTGTGTGTCACTGTATCAGGGAAACTTGCCAGCATCTCTCACGTTGGAGTAATGTTGTATGTGTGTGTTGTGTGTCACTGTATCAGGGAAACTTACCAGCATCTCTCACGTTGGAGTAATGTTGTATGTGTGTGTTGTGTGTCACTGTATCAGGGAAACTTGCCAGCATCTCTCACGTTGGAGTAATGTTGTATGTGTGTGTTGTGTGTCACTGTATCAGGGAAACTTGCCAGCATCTCTCACGTTGGAGTAATGTTGTATGTGTGTGTGTCACTGTATCAGAGAAACTTACCAACATCTCTCATGTTGGAGTAATGTTGTATGTGTGTGTTGTGTGTCACTGTATCAGAGAAACTTGCCAGCATCTCTCACGTTGGAGTAATGTTGTATGTGTGTGTTGTGTGTCACTGTATCAGGGAAACTTACCAGCATCTCTCACGTTGGAGTAATGTTGTATGTGTGTGTTGTGTGTCACTGTATCAGGGAAACTTGCCAGCATCTCTCACGTTGGAGTAATGTTGTATGTGTGTGTTGTGTGTCACTGTATCAGGGAAACTTGCCAGCATCTCTCACATTGGAGTAATGTTGTATGTGTGTGTTGTGTGTCACTGTATCAGGGAAACTTGCCAGCATCTCTCACATTGGAGTAATGTTGTATGTGTGTGTTGTGTGTCACTGTATCAGGGAAACTTGCCAGCATCTCTCACATTGGAGTAATGTTGTATGTGTGTGTTGTGTGTCACTGTATCAGGGAAACTTGCCAGCATCTCTCACGTTGGAGTAATGTTGTATGTGTGTGTTGTGTGTCACTGTATCAGGGAAACTTGCCAGCATCTCTCACGTTGGAGTAATGTTGTATGTGTGTGTTGTGTGTCACTGTATCAGGGAAACTTGCCAGCATCTCTCACGTTGGAGTAATGTTGTATGTGTGTGTTGTGTGTCACTGTATCAGGGAAACTTGCCAGCATCTCTCACGTTGGAGTAATGTTGTATGTGTGTGTTGTGTGTCACTGTATCAGGGAAACTTGCCAGCATCTCTCACGTTGGAGTAATGTTGTATGTGTGTGTTGTGTGTCACTGTATCAGGGAAACTTGCCAGCATCTCTCACGTTGGAGTAATGTTGTATGTGTGTGTTGTGTGTCACTGTATCAGGGAAACTTGCCAGCATCTCTCACGTTGGAGTAATGTTGTATGTGTGTGTTGTGTGTCACCGTATCAGGGAAACTTGCCAGCATCTCTCACGTTGGAGTAATGTTGTATGTGTGTGTTGTGTGTCACTGTATCAGGGAAACTTGCCAGCATCTCTCACGTTGGAGTAATGTTGTATGTGTGTGTTGTGTGTCACTGTATCAGGGAAACTTGCCAGCATCTCTCACGTTGGAGTAATGTTGTATGTGTGTGTTGTGTGTCACTGTATCAGGGAAACTTGCCAGCATCTCTCACGTTGGAGTAATGTTGTATGTGTGTGTGTCACTGTATCAGAGAAACTTACCAACATCTCTCACGTTGGAGTAATGTTGTATGTGTGTGTTGTGTGTCACTGTATCAGGGAAACTTGCCAGCATCTCTCACGTTGGAGTAATGTTGTATGTGTGTGTTGTGTGTCACTGTATCAGGGAAACTTGCCAGCATCTCTCACATTGGAGTAATGTTGTATGTGTGTGTTGTGTGTCACTGTATCAGGGAAACTTGCCAGCATCTCTCACATTGGAGTAATGTTGTATGTGTGTGTTGTGTGTCACTGTATCAGGGAAACTTGCCAGCATCTCTCACATTGGAGTAATGTTGTATGTGTGTGTTGTGTGTCACTGTATCAGGGAAACTTGCCAGCATCTCTCACGTTGGAGTAATGTTGTATGTGTGTGTTGTGTGTCACCGTATCAGGGAAACTTGCCAGCATCTCTCACGTTGGAGTAATGTTGTATGTGTGTGTTGTGTGTCACTGTATCAGGGAAACTTGCCAGCATCTCTCACGTTGGAGTAATGTTGTATGTGTGTGTTGTGTGTCACTGTATCAGGGAAACTTGCCAGCATCTCTCACGTTGGAGTAATGTTGTATGTGTGTGTTGTGTGTCACTGTATCAGGGAAACTTGCCAGCATCTCTCACGTTGGAGTAATGTTGTATGTGTGTGTGTCACTGTATCAGAGAAACTTACCAACATCTCTCACGTTGGAGTAATGTTGTATGTGTGTGTTGTGTGTCACTGTATCAGGGAAACTTGCCAGCATCTCTCACGTTGGAGTAATGTTGTATGTGTGTGTTGTGTGTCACTGTATCAGGGAAACTTGCCAGCATCTCTCACATTGGAGTAATGTTGTATGTGTGTGTTGTGTGTCACTGTATCAGGGAAACTTGCCAGCATCTCTCACATTGGAGTAATGTTGTATGTGTGTGTTGTGTGTCACTGTATCAGGGAAACTTGCCAGCATCTCTCACATTGGAGTAATGTTGTATGTGTGTGTTGTGTGTCACTGTATCAGGGAAACTTGCCAGCATCTCTCACGTTGGAGTAATGTTGTATGTGTGTGTTGTGTGTCACTGTATCAGGGAAACTTGCCAGCATCTCTCACGTTGGGAGTAATGTTGTATGTGTGTGTTGTGTGTCACTGTATCAGGGAAACTTGCCAGCATCTCTCACGTTGGAGTAATGTTGTATGTGTGTGTTGTGTGTCACTGTATCAGGGAAACTTGCCAGCATCTCTCACGTTGGAGTAATGTTGTATGTGTGTGTTGTGTGTCACTGTATCAGGGAAACTTGCCAGCATCTCTCACGTTGGAGTAATGTTGTATGTGTGTGTTGTGTGTCACTGTATCAGGGAAACTTACCAGCATCTCTCACGTTGGAGTAATGTTGTATGTGTGTGTTGTGTGTCACTGTATCAGGGAAACTTGCCAGCATCTCTCACGTTGGAGTAATGTTGTATGTGTGTGTTGTGTGTCACTGTATCAGGGAAACTTGCCAGCATCTCTCACGTTGGAGTAATGTTGTATGTGTGTGTGTCACTGTATCAGAGAAACTTACCAACATCTCTCATGTTGGAGTAATGTTGTATGTGTGTGTTGTGTGTCACTGTATCAGAGAAACTTGCCAGCATCTCTCACGTTGGAGTAATGTTGTATGTGTGTGTTGTGTGTCACTGTATCAGGGAAACTTACCAGCATCTCTCACGTTGGAGTAATGTTGTATGTGTGTGTTGTGTGTTACTATATCAGAGAAACTTGCCAACATCTCTCACGTTGGAGTAATGTTGTATGTGTGTGTTGTGTGTCACTGTATCAGAGAAACTTGCCAACATCTCTCATGTTGGAGTAATGTTGTATGTGTGTGTTGTGTGTCACTGTATCAGAGAAACTTGCCAACATCTCTCATGTTGGAGTAATGTTGTATGTGTGTGTTGTGTGTCACTGTATCAGAGAAACTTGCCAACACCTCTCATGTTGGAGTAATGTTGTATGTGTGTGTTGTGTGTCACTGTATCAGAGAAACTTGCCAACATTTCTCACATTGGAGTATTGTTGTATGTGTGTTGTGTGTCACTGTATCAGAGAAACTTGCCAACATCTCTCATGTTGGAGTAATGTTGTATGTGTGTGTTGTGTGTCACTGTATCAGAGAAACTTACCAACATCTCTCATGTTGGAGTAATGTTGTATGTGTGTGTTGTGTGTCACTGTATCAGAAACTTACCAACATTTCTGACATTGGAGTATTGTTGTATGTGTGTTGTGTGTCACTGTATCAGAGAAACTTGCCAACATCTCTCATGTTGGAGTAATGTTGTATGTGTGTGTTGTGTGTCACTGTATCAGAGAAACTTGCCAACATTTCTCACATTGGAGTATTGTTGTATGTGTGTTGTGTGTCACTGTATCAGAGAAACTTGCCAACATCTCTCATGTTGGAGTAATGTTGTATGTGTGTTGTGTGTCACTGTATCAGAGAAACTTGCCAGCATCTCTCACATTGGAGTATTGTTGTATGTGTGTTGTGTGTCACTCTATCAGAGAAACTTGCCAACATCTCTCATGTTGGAGTAATGTTGTATGTGTGTGTTGTGTGTCACTGTATCAGAGAAACTTGCCAGCATCTCTCACGTTGGAGTAATGTTGTATGTGTGTGTTGTGTGTCACTGTATCAGAGAAACTTGCCAGCATCATTCACGTTGGAGTAATGTTGTATGTGTGTGTTGTGTGTCACTGTATCAGAGAAACTTGCCAGCATCTCTCACATTGGAGTATTGTTGTATGTGTGTTGTGTGTCACTGTATCAGAGAAACTTGCCAACATCTCTCATGTTGGAGTAATGTTGTATGTGTGTGTTGTGTGTCACTGTATCAGAGAAACTTGCCAACATGTCTCACGTTGGAGTAATGTTGTATGTGTGTGTTGTGTGTCACTCTATCAGAGAAATTGCCAACATCGCTCACGTTGGAGTAATGTTGTATGTATGTTTGTGTCACTGTATCAGAGAAACTTACCAACATTTACTCATGTTGGAGTAATGTTGAAACTTACGGACATTTACCTCACGGAGTAATTTTGTAAATTGTTTTCGTTGAGATTTGAAACAAAAATACACTTTTGCAATCACCCTGCAACATTTCATGACTTGATGGTGCCTGGTTATCTCTGTTTATTGGATAGCTCTATGAAAGAATAACTATGGTTATAACGAACTCGAAGGGATCACTAATTTTAGTTTGTTATGACCATAGTTCGTTATAAACTTATAAACAGCAAATATACAGCAAAAGGCCGGGCCAAAAATTAAGTTGGCTATATCCATCTGTTCGTTACAAGCGTGTTTGTTATAAACATAGTTTATTGTATGTCTATGAAGCACATCAAATAATGTAGGACCTATCAGGCAATATGTTGAATGGTATTTGATTGGGTAAGATTAATTATAATAGTGAAATATTTTTCATCATGCATATAAATTTCCTCGTGTGAACAAAATCTACCTAGCTCCTCTTAATGGGTTCACTTAAACATCACCATGATGACGTCACATGAAGTCTTATTTTTTCATGAACTAAATACTTGACTCTTCAAACTGCGGTACCACACTGAAAGCAAATGTCGGTCCTTTCTCAGGATTCCATTTGGTGTGACTTGTGAACTAATTGTTCTATATTTTACTCTATGAGTGTTGCATGTGTACATAATCTATAAGTATGATACCTAAGTGTAAATTGTAATGCAAGTTACTGAAGACGTTTTTTTGTTTTGTTTCCCAGTTGTTGAAGAAATGGACAGTGATGATGAAGAAGAGAGTGTTCCCATGGTAACAATTGGCATCCGCAAGGTGCCCTACCAGGAAGTGACCCCTGACATGGTGGAACAAATGACCCCAGCGGAGAAGGACGAGTATATACGTATTGGCCAGGAGTTGTATTCAGATATGTACGAATGATGAATAAAGTGAATGTTTTTGTAAAGAGTATTGTGTTGATGTTTCAGTATGTGAGAGGCTATGAGGTAGGCAGGGCGCTGGTGTGTCCACTCATCACAGGCAGAGCAGGGTGTTCTTCCCACCTGGTTGTATACCTAGGTGTCATATCATATCATGGGGCTGATGTTGTGTTGATGTTCCAGTATGTGAGAGGCTATGAGGTAGGCAGGGCGCTGGTGTGTCCACTCATCACAGACAGAACAGGGTGTTCTTCCCACCTGGTTGTATACCTAGGTGTCATATCATATCATGGGGCTGATGTTGTGTTGATGTTCCAGTATGTGAGAGGCTATGAGGTAGGCAGGGCGCTGGTGTGTCCACTCATCACAGACAGAACAGGGTGTTCTTCCCACCTGGTTGTACACCTTGGTGTCATATCATATCATGGGGCTGATGCTGTTTTGATCAGTTTTAGCACAAAACCAGTGCTTCAACTTGTGCTAAAAGACCACAGTAGAGCCACAGTGATCCATGTGTAAATATTGCTGATGCAGAGGTAAACAATAAAGACTCATCCTAGGGGCATTCAGGTAGTCTCATGGTTGAGGTATCAGAAATACATCTCAGGCCAATTCATAGATTTAAGGGAGTGAGTTTGGTTTTACGTTTTACGCAATATTCCATTAATGTCATGACGGGAAACGCCAGAAATGGGCTTCACACATTGTATCCATGTAGGGAATCGAAGCCAGGCCTTTGGCATGACGAGCAAACCCTTCAACCACTTGTGTTTGTCTACAAATAGTTTATCTATCAGCTTCCTCAAAAGGACAGCTGGAGTTGCAGTGGTAGCTGAAGTGCACCTGGAACACATCAACTCAAAACAGGTTATATCAGTGCCAGGTTTGGGGCTACCCCACCTACATTTAAGAATAACTCTACAAGATGATTGGCTGGATATGAGGGAGTTGCTGGTTATCACATGGTCAACCAGGCTATATTGAGTGAAATACAGGTTAAGCAGAACCATACAATGAGATACAGAATAATTCATTTTATTGAGCCATGGATTGTTGAACATTATTGTCAAGTATCTGTTGGATTGTAGTCATATATAACATGACTTGGCGCTGTGGATATTTTCATGACAGTAACATTTCAACTGTCATTTATTTCAAATATCTGCACCAACAGCGAATGCAGTCTATGTACTAACAGCTTCCGGATTCCTGGGGATGGAAAAAACCTCTACTGATAGAACAACACAGAAGATAACCATGGTAACACCTAGCACCCCAACTACTGCTTAGTATCATTAATAATACTGAATGATACACAGCTTTTGTTCTACAGTCAAACCTCATTATCTTGAACCCCGTTATCGCGAATGTACTGATATCTTCAAGTTACAAGACGGCCCCTCTAGAATCGAGATTTTGAATGTATTTACTAAAGTGGCAAACATTCGTCATCTTTGAAATACTGGTACATACTATATGCCTTGTCATGCTAACCTTGACATCTGTCCCGTTTTTTCTTTCCTTCAGTTTTTGACCTTGCAGACTGTCAAATCAGTTTGCCCAATTTAGCTCTTAACCAAAAAAATTATATTATAAAAAAATATACATTTGTAAAGTAGTTAGTGTTATGTATTAACATCTGCCAACAAAATGTGTAAAAGAAGGACCAAATTTTCCAGTGTGTGCAATATTCAAAGTAAGAAAACATGAGGACTGCTTCAATTGTACTATATTTCAGTAGAGATTACTTGCCAGCAGTGACTAGATGCCCAGTTTGATACTAAAAGAAGTAGTTGTTGGATGTATAAATCAGTATAAGCTTGACTCTTCAACCAGACAGAATAGAAGTATTTAATGAGAAGTTGACAACCAATAATGTTACTGGCCACTGATTACAGTTAAGCATCTATTGCAGGTGTAACTGTCATACGTTCCACTTCACGTTTTAGATCAGAAATGAGATATCTACACCAATACATGCAAGTTATTTGGAAGTAAAGTGATTGTGCTAAATCATATAACACCGATGACAAGAAACGTTACAGTGCTACATCATAGAACACACTGATGACAAGAAACGTTACAGTGCTACATCATAGAACACACTGATGACAAGAAACGTTACAATGCTACATCATAGAACACACCTTTGACAAGAAACGTTACAGTGCTACATCATAGAACACACTGATGACAAGAAACGTTACAGTGCTACATCATAGAACACACCTATGACAAGAAACGTTACAGTGCTACATCATAGAACACACCGATGACAAGAAACATTACAGTGCTACATCATAGAACACACTGATGACAAGAAACTCTTATTGGAACCCCTCTCTTCCAAGGTCATGTACCTCTGATGTCTTAGACGCCCTACAGTTGATACGGGGTTGTTCAAAGAATCAGCCACAAGACCCAGGAATGCCTCCACAAGGCCACCTGCTCTGGAGGTTGTGAACAGGTCCCTCCTCAGGTGAAACTTGATCTCCATGAGCCTCGTCTCCTTCCTCTGCCAGATGTACATGAATGTTTCAGTGGAAGAATCAAAGATAACCGGCATGTCTACTGTCAGCTGGTTGGATGCACTGGTGATGATATCAGTCTCATATATGAAGTAGTTCGTACCAAGATTTTTGACCTCCGGAACAAGCTTCTTGATTTCTTCCGATGGATATATTGCATACTTTGTGAAGTGTTGTATAGCCTTGCTGTTGCTCTGTAGGAACTCCTGCACAGTGGTAGTTTCCTCTGGCACTTGACAGATTAGAGGGATGAAGTTCGTGCATCTCCCCAACGATCTGGTCAGAGCAGGAACCAGGCCCCGAAGGTCAACCGAGGTTGTGATGGTTGATGTTGTTTTGCTGCTGACAAAGGCAAGAAAGAGCTGGTAGATACTGGCAAGATAGTCAAAGGGTGTGAGACCCATATCTCTCGCATACTTCAATATTTTAGTGTACAGGTCATTGTTGACTGTTCTTGTGATGAAGATGTGGTCATTTTGTACATTGTGTTTTGTGGGACCTTCCGAAAGGCTGTTGTATGATATGTACTTTGTCTTCGTTTTCCAAAACTGGCTTACTCTCTTGAAGTTTGGAGCAAGAATTTTCTGTATTTCCTTTGCTATATCCTTGTCTGTGTCAGTTACAACATCTACCAGGGGCTTACCCTGTTGTACTGCATTGGCCATGTTTTCAAGTTCTTTTACCAAGATTGTAATTGCTTTTAAATCAAATGCAAGTCTGTGGAAAACCATTCTGAGCTGTAAAGATCTTCCAAGGAATATGAATCGTAATGGACTCTGGTGTTGAAGATGTATTGGCTCTTCTGTATGTTTCTTGACCTCAGACATGTCATCTCCAGATAATATACGAAAGTCGAAGGCATTCTCCAAAGTCAACGTGTTTGTGGAGACATTTTCATGGCTGAAGATGTAAGTTGTTCTAGTGATTGGATGACGTGACACACACTCTTTCGCCACAGCAATCAATGTCGATACGTTTACCACATCCGGTACTGAAATAGTGCTGACAATTACAAAACCCATGTTGTGTTCACAGTCTGCCCTAAATCCACAGACTGACCTCGCGATTGACATGCTTATTGCCTGCTTACTGATCACAGTCTCCATGTCACTGGCCTGTGCCTGTTCCTTCTCTGTACCTGACAGGATGTCCAGTATTCTCTTGGCAATGTTGCATGTTGATTGAAGCTGTATTTCGTGAGTGGACAGCTTTACTCCAATGTCTGACAAGATTCCACCTGTAATTTCCATGGCATACATCGAGTCCACACCTTGATCCTTCATATTGGCGTCCATCTGAAAACTGTTTATATCCAACAAAGCCTTATCACACACAAGATGTTTTACATATTCCCGGAGCATCTGCAGCCCTTCTTCCGCTGAGCAGGTACGTAGTTTGTCAACATCGCAAGATCGTTTGCCCTCTTCTGATGTTGCCTGTTCATTTAGGATCTTCATGGCAGGTTCCAAATATGTCTTTAATCGCATCATCAAGGTTGTTTCTTTATCCCTTTGTAATTGTTCTGCCATTTTCTGTCTGTCTATTCTGCACACCAAGGCTTGGGGCTCGTTCAGCATCAGCATGTGTGTAAGACACTGACTGATATCCTTCTTATTAATGACCATGTACCCTTGACTCTCCAACTTCTTCAATACAGATCCCCTTTTCTCCAGCATCCCAAGATCGAGAGGTCCCCAATTGATACTCTGGCCACTCATTCCACGCTGTCTTCTGTACACTGCCAATCCATCCAAGAATCCATTACCAGCTCCGTAGTTTGATTGACCAGCATTCCCCAGAACAGCTGCCCCAGAAGAATGCAGGACAAAGAAGTCAAGAGGAAGATCTGCGGTCAGGATATGAAGATTCCAAGCACCAGTTACCTTTGGAGCCATGGCTGTGACAAGTTTTTCCTCTGTCATTTCAGCGAGGGAAGCGTCCTGTAAAACAGCTGCCCCGTAGAATACGCCCTTGAGAGGTTTCAGGTGTTTCCTTATCTTTAATATAGCTGTTTCTATATCCTTGTAGACTGTGACATCAGTTTGAATAGATGTTATGTGACAGTTATGTTGCTGAGATAGATGGTCCATATCCACTTGTGTTTCAGGGTTAGGTTTACGTCTACTCAGAATGATCACGCTTCCAGCGCCTCCTGCTGCAAGGGATGTCACACATTCCCATCCTAGTCCTGTCAGTCCCCCCACAACCACATAAGAACCTGTGTCCTGGAACAGGTGGGTACTTGGTGTCATCATGATTTCCATGTCAAAGTTGCTATCTGAAGACAAGGACAACTCGGTGCTATTAAGAACTTCTGAGATGTTTAGTGGGATGACTGTTCCCTGTAGTTTTGAAACCCGCAAGTCATTGAAGCTGTCGCATATTTTGAAGACAGTTTCACTGTGGGATTTGATCCATTTAATCATTCTGGGTACTGTCTCAAGCATTATTCTCTGAGAAAATATTTCAAATGGTCGTATGACCTGAAGTTGAAAGTCTTGCACTGCCCCAAACAGGTTCTGGAGGACAGACTGTTTTGTGATTGGTTCAAAGCAAATGATTTTCCTTACATTTGTAAACATTTTCCAAAGTCTTTTTGCTTCTACTTCTGTCAGTAAAACTGTAGGAATCAATGTCACAAAATCGTCTCTTTGTAGTACAGTTTCATATGGTTTGACTAATGACACATGTTTTGCCCCCTGTGAAAGAAGCAAGTGTGACATTGCATTTGCAAAGGTTTTACTGCTGCTTGAATACAAAATGACTACATTGTTCTTTGCTGTGTGAATGGACATCGACCACATCAGATACAGTGTGGTTAGCTGACTTGGGACATAACCAGGCACGTGTCTTGCATCTATGGTGCAGCTCTTTGGAACTTTGATATTCTTGCAAACGTGTGTAGGAAAGAGGGTAATTTTGTCAGGATGGTTACTTCTTGATTTGGCTGATACTTTTCCAATTGCTTCGAGACACAGAATTGGGTGTATATCTGTTGTGGATGCTCTAGGGCGTCCACTGTGAAGTCCATGCAACAAAGGGCTATGCACCACCACAGAAGTCACAACAATATCAGTCATATCTTTTGTGGAAGTTGTTGTCTTTTCTTTTGGATAGAAAAATGGATTAACTATTGATGTTTTTGATTTTGAGCAGAGCAAACCCTCAGTGTGTTCATCCATTGTAACTGTCCGAAACACAGGTTGTGGATTTGGGTGTGGCAGAATTGTGTGCATGTACATTTTGTCATTGTGGAATTTCATCTCAGGGTACCTTATGAAGTCCTCGGATGTGCTTTGTGATAATATCCCTGGAAGGCTTGCTAAGAACTTCTCGTCATTGTCGACTAGAACATCCACAAGCTGAATGTGGAGAGCTCTATACTCCCTCAAGACACACCTCATGAAACCTTTGACAGCTTCACTAAGACAGCCACTGGCAGCATTATCTCCTGCGTCTCGTATCTCTGAAATAATCACCAGTGGAACAGACACTCCTCTGCTGGCAGCGTAAAGGGCAATCAGTCGCAAGGACATGATCCTCCTTGTGAGTTCTTTTTGCAGCGATTCTCCAGTGTCTGTTTTGAGGTCAGTTACTGCAAAGACAAAGCAGATTTGCTTGATGTTATGTATGACAGAGTCAAGCGCACGTTTTGTGCCTTCAACTCCCATGTGATCCAATTCATGTATGACACAGGCTAGATCCACATTGGTTAGATCTACGTTGGTGAAGATGACTAATCCAGTGTCAACATTGTTCTGAGAAACGTGAAAGGAACCCAAGGGAACCAAGCTTGTTTTGAATGTTGCATTGTGAATATCAAAAGTGTCTGATCCTATAAATTTTGTTGAGAATCTTTCAACATGTGCTATGACAGATCCATCAGGCGAAAGAAGTGTCAAGGTAAATGATGTGTGTGATCTGGTGGAGTCTGTCATTCTTGCATAAACAAACATTTCAGTCTTCACTGAATGTCTGACAGTTACATTCTTAAGCTCGACTGGAAGAAATTCTTTTTCTTGCATGTTGAACGCAGCAGCTGACTGCAGCATTCCATCGAGTATTGCCGGATGAATTACAGTGTTGGTCATCTCCTCTTTCAGCTTTTGTCCAACTGTTAACTTTGTAAGACTTTCAGATTTCCCCCTCAGTGCATAGTTCATAGTTGCAAAGTTAGGACCGTATGTAAATCCTGAATACTTCAGAGCTTGATACACCTCGTCACCGGTGACTGTTTCGGTACACCTCTCCTGTATGGCCTCCATGTCCATCCGCTCCTCATCAGGTGCACTGTCACACACCAGTATTCTCCCCTTCGCAATGGCAACACCTGTACTTCGGATGGTGAAAGTTTTCGTACAGTCGTTCGCAATGTGATCCTCAACCTCAACATCTAGTTGAACAGACATTTCTTTTTTTAAAATAACTGGATTCAGAAAGCTGACTGATATGATCAGATTTCTAACATTGGCAGTATTCATTGACCTTGCGATTCCAAACCCTGCCTCGACGTAGGTTGCACCTGGGACAACAATAATGTCCTTGATCTTGTGTTCATAGACAGTTCCAAACGTAGATGGGCGGATGTTCAGCATGCATTTGTCTGTGGAAGATGACAGTCTTACAAAGAGATGATTGCCAGAGTTTCCATTGGATCCAAACACTTCTTCTTCTGTAATTACAGGCAGGATCATTAGGTGCTTGTGCGAGAAAGCATAACACGGCATTGGTGTTGGAGGTTCTGTGTGCGTGAATATTTCCTGCCAGTTTATGTTCACCTTCAGCTGGTACAGCTCAGAGAGGGTCACGAGCATTGTGTTCTCACTAAACTTAACTGTCAAGGAAGGAAGGCATAGACATGATGGCGATCCTTTTGTAAAAATATCACCCATGTGAGCTTTCAATACTGGCTGAGGGCCAATCTCTATAAATACATTGAGATGATTGTCAGAGGTAGATCTTGCTATTGCTGATGCGAACTGAACAGGGTTTCGAACATTCTTACCCCAGTATTCTGATGAATTAACGTCCTTCTCTGTGAGGTGAACATCAGCTGTTGATATCATAGGTATTCTTGCCGGTAACGACTTCAGATTGGCTAGTACGCTGTCCAACTGCATCTTGCTCTGATCCATGTGGTGGCTGTGGTACGCAGCACCAACATGAAGATCAGTCAGTGTAAGATTGCTGTGAGAAAGTTGAAGACGTGACCTCAAATCATCCACGGCGGCAGAGTCACCACTAACTGCACACGACACAGGACTGTAAGAAAGTGCAATGTTCACGCCTGCAACGTCATCACAAATTTCCTGTACATTGTCCGTTTTAAGGTTTCTGACAAGAAGCATCTTACCACCTGTGGCTTCAGCCAGGATTCGAGTCCTGTGGTAGATGACCCTCACAGCTTCACCCAGGGACAGGATTCCAGCCATGTGTGCTGCAGCCACCTCTCCCACTGACTGGCCCACAACAACTGCTGGCACCACTCCCCAAGCTTCCCACTGTTTGGCCAGCGCAACCTGACAAGCAAATATGGCGATTGGACCAAACAGAGGGTCTTCTACGTCATAACCGCTTCTCAGCCTTTTGGTCAATGACCAGGACACGAACCTTTTCAAGGACACATCAATCATGTTGATTGTTTTGCTGAAAGTTTTGTTCATTTTCATGAAGCCATCACACATTCCTGACCAAGCAGTGCCCATCCCACAAAAGACGAAGATGATCTTTAAAGGGCTTGTGTTAATGTCAACAATGTTTCTGCTCTTCATTACTATCTGTGCTTGCTGTTTCAGATCATTAACACTCTTCACAACAAAAGCCTTTCTGCACGTAAAATGTTCCCTTCTAACTGTCGATGTGTAGGCCATTGCTGGCAGGTCATCGTGTGTGAGATGATCACAAGAGAGGAAATTCTCAAGACTTTTCTTTAGTGTCTCTAAAGAGCTGCCTGAAAAACAAACGATATGCGAAGAACGCAAGTTGGACCTGCTAGCATATGGTGGTTTATTGTAATTGTGTAAAATAGCATGACTGTTAGTTCCACCAAAACCGAATGAATTGAGACAAGCTACTTTCGAAACTGATGTCCATTGTAGAGGATGCTGTGGGATGATGAACTGAAACTTGTCAAAGTCTATATGTTCGTTTGGCTTGTCAAAGTGTAGAGATGGCACGATGGTGTTGTATTTCATCATCAGCAGGACCTTGATGAGACCTGCTACCCCTGCTGCCGGTTCCAGATGGCCGATGTTGGTCTTCACAGAACCCATGTAACGTTTCCTTTGGTTCCCAGGAGATGAAAAGAATTCTCCAAATGTGTTGACCTCGATAGGGTCACCCAGCTTCGTGCCAGTACCTGCGAATGATAATCAGATCAGATAGATTCAAAGCTGAATATTTGAACCTCCGAAAATATTAAAATCAGTGACCCTAAACCTTTAACTAACTGTAATTTTCGGGAGTACATATTATGTATTCATGGTGTATCTATATATTAATCCTTGGCAGGACAATGGACGCCATTAGAGTAAAGTGTAACAAAAAGTCAGAGACCCACCATGAGCTTCAATGTATTCAACAGTGTGAGGGTCCACACAATACGCCCGATAGAGGTCTTGGAGCAGCTGCAGCTGTTGGCCACCAGATGGCGCTGTGATGGGCTGGGCTGCTCGACCATCTTGGTTCACGCCAGTAGAGACCGTCGCCCAAATGTTGTCCCCGTCACGGAGTGCCTTGAACACGGACGTACACTATTTATTTCACCTGCTTCTACATAACATATACTTCATGTGCCACAGTGTCTGTCCGCACATTTTGATTCAGTTCAGCTTTTAGGTTCAGTATTCATCTTACTAGAGCTGAGTATCGCCTGGTATCTTGCGATACAGACTAACGATACTACTGGTATCACTATACACCCAAAAATAGGTAAATAAAAGTGAAATCACTGAAATACAACAGTTACTCTAAAAACTCTGGATTCATACATTTACTTATTATAATCCCAGAAACAAGAACAAGAATGAAGGGAAGATTATTAAATGTAATAGTTTAATAGCAGACACGTCCTCTATCACCACGTCCTCGTGTTCCGCCATGTTTACAAGCTGTGCTCTGCTGCTTCCGCAACAACGGGGGATAGCTATATCCGTTTCTGTTCTGTGTATTCGAGTATCGTCTGTACCTTAGTATAAATGATATCACAGGTACCAGTGAATCGTTACAGCCCTACATCTTAGATGTGGCAGTAAACTATGATCGCGTTTTGGAATCCCGTTTAACGACGATTATGTTCCTATGTTAGTCGGCACTATACACGAGCTCGGGGTTTCATCAAGGTGGTAAACATCTAAGATATATCAGTTCCTCCACATCAAGCAGATTCGCCGTGATACACCTGAAGTATTGTTCAAAGCGTCGAGGAACCAAACCAACTCACCTGTGCAAGTGGTTTGAGGAGGACGATGCCACACCCCTCTCCTCTGGTGTATCCGTCGGCGTTAGAAGAGAAGGCGTGGCACTGGCCACTGGGTGACAACATCTGGGCCTTGCTAAGGGGGACAAACACTGTGGGGTGAAGCAGCAGATTCACTCCCCCACACAGCGCCATCTCACAGTCGCCTGGACACACAGGACATTGGGTTGTTATAAATGAGGAATACGTGCATGTTCAGATATTGCCCTACTACCTTGGACAATTATATACACACGTACATGTATTTATTATACACTTCAGTGTGAAAGACCGAGTTCTCCGAAGTTGAGAAAAGTGATATTTTCATTGCAGTGAACATAACCCTTGATATTTCTCTGGAACTATTGTCAAACAAGGGTTGCCTCCCCTTAAATAGTCTCCCTTTGTCGTTAGTGACCAGCCCGTACACAAACTGTTGACGTTCTTTTTAAGTTAGGTCCACATTGACAAGGCAAATTAACGACTGACTGTCACTCGTGAAAATATCTCCTTTCCCCCCGCCACTCGATGAGAGAAACATGATATTTCACTCGACACATGAAATATCCTCTATATATGACCAGTAAAAATATTTGAATTCATACAATGTCTTCAGGAAATAATGTCATTATGAACACTTCTTAACCATAGTTACAAATCTAATTTACAAAACATGTATTTTATTTATTCACGGTATTACGCGATCCATCGCTGAGAAAAAAGTTATATACCTTACATCACAAAATACGTTGTATTTGCATTCTTATATATACCTTATGTTGGTTACTATAAGAAGAATCACTCATATTCAAAAGATATTTTATTGGTTCGACGTACAAACGAACATACTGGTATGTTGTGTGAATCGATTCTCATGAACGCATCACATGTGATGCCATAGACCAATGGCTCGAGATGCACCATTTGTCTCGTGCAGGATTAGCGTACAAAGTTTGGACAGCACGTGCAGCATATCGTGATGAGAATAAAGACACCTTGGTTACACTTGACAGATTGTTAGTTTTGTCATCAAGTGGTACACATTGAAAACATCTCTTATTAACGAACATACTTCTCTCTATGATTCTATGGTTTGTGTTTCCTTTTGCGGGGGTTATATTAACATACTTAATGTTGGTAAATATATGATATATATTTTCTTAGAAGAATACAATATACCTTTGGGTAGACAACCGTAAATATCACAAGATTATTACTGTGACTATATGAGCTGTGCTATACACATCCACGCACCTGCTCGGAGGGCCAAGCCTGCCTGATGTATGGCCACGAGGGAAGAGGAACAGGCAGTGTCCAGTACCATGGAGGGGCCTGACAAGTTGTAGACGTAGGACACGCGATTGGCTAACACACTTCCCGCGAGACCAGCAACAGAGTAGTGGTCGATCTCGTGAGAGTTGGCAGTCATCCGCACAGTGAAGTCGCTGTTCATGGCACCTGGAGTAGAGAGGATTGCTTGTGTTTTATTGGCAGGCATCAGTGATCACACGTGTTCTTAACAGAGTAAGTGTTTTGTTTTTGTTTGTTTGTTGTTTAACGCCGCACTCAGCAATATTCCAGAAATATGACGGCGGTCTGAAAATCGAGTCTGGACCAGACAGTCCAGTGATTGACATCATGAGCATCGATACACGTTATTTGGGATACGATGACATGCATTAACCAAGTCGGCCAGCCTGACCACCCGAGACCGTTAGTCTTCAGCAACCCATGCTTGTCGTCAAAGGCGATTATGCTTCTCGTAAGATGCGGCTAAAAGGACTCGGGTATTTACAAACCGCCGTCATGACTCACCTATGTAGACGCCGACTTTCTGGCCCGCTACCTGTTGCCTGGTGACTCCAGCGTCTTCAAGCGCCATGAACGTGCACTCCAACACTTGGCGCTGCTGGGGGTCCATCTGGGCAGCCTCGCTTTCATTGATACCGAACAGTTTGTTGTCAAAGTGAGCATAACTAGAATAACAAAGTTAAATTGTTTAAAACAATAAAACAATAAAACAAAGGAGGACGTGACGACAACCCCGAGTTACGTTCATGTTCAATGTTTGTATCGTATGGGTTGGTAGAAGGAATGTGGAGACGAAACACACCCGACTACAGACTTACTTCTGTATGAACCCCGCCTTTTTGGAGTAGAACTTGCCATTGGCGTTTACATCCGGGTCATAGAAAGTGTCCCTGTTCCATCTGTCGGGCGGTATTTCTATCACATGGTTCTCTCCCTTGACCAAGACATCCCAGAATTCCCCCAGACAGGAAGCCCCCGGAAATCGACATCCCACGCCAATGATGGCGATATCCATTTTCTTTGCCTTCTGTTGTTTCTTGAAAAAGGAAAAACAAAAATCAGAACTGGACGGATACACATGCGCGCGCGAACACACACACATCTTCACACGCACATACACATGCACACATATACGAGACAAGACAAGACAAGACAATTTATTCAGTATGGAGGCCAAAATACAGACACATAAAGATTTCATTTCTTAGCGCTACACACACACACACACACACACACACACACACACACACACACACACACACGTTGTATATAACCCATTGAACATAGCACTCTGGACGAAACCAATGAACAAAACCGTGCACAAAGGGAGAAGCACGCATTGAACCACAACACACACACGCACGCACGCACGCACGCACACACGTACGCACACAGACACACACACGCACGCACGCACACAGACACACACACAGACACACAGAATTAACACACGCACACGCATACGCACTCTGAATAAAACACATTGAATATAGCACTCTGGACAAAACCAAAACTCACACGTTGAACAACAACAGACACACAGACACACACGCACTGAATAAAACTACAATTGTATGATATTTCTAGAAAGGAAGGTTTATGTTTCTTTAATGTTGTAATGGACGTGAATCGCTTCAAAATTACTAATTAAGCCTTTAGTATAAACTGCTAACTGACATTCATGTGGAATTGTTGCTTTTCCAGTAAGTCTTTATGTTCTTAGTGCGCGTGCGCGACAAAGATAGACACATATGATCAGGGTTTATTAGCAAGTGTGAAGCAGATTGATCACATTCTCCATCAGGCCCTCACACATTCAAGGGACCGTTTATCATAACATAACATGAGACATATTTTATAAAGTGTCACATATTGTATATGATAAAAGTATAACATGTTATTTAAACAATAAAGTGTACACTATCCAGCCATTTCTTAAAACATGATTAAAACATATGAGTTATATTAATACCCGCCAAACATTTCAATATACCTATATAGTAAAATGCACACATGGTCCACGGTCATTAACTGCGCACTCATTGTTTATAGAGTACCCAGGTGATGCCTCAAGCAGTAATGTAAGTTAACTTGTGGCTATTTGAATAAGTACCAAATCCTTTTTTTCCAGTAGAATAAAAGAATAAAAGTCACGGGTAATGAGGAAATGGGTTTCATCTTCCCTATTAGTGTCATTGTTTCCCTATCAGTGTCATTGTTTCCCTATTAGTGTCATCATTTCCCTATCAGTGTCATCATTTCCCTATCAGTGTCATCATTTCCCTATCAGTGTCATCATTTCCCTATCAGTGTCATTGTTTCCCTATCAGTGTCATTGTTTCCCTATCAGTGTCATCATTTCCCTATCAGTGTCATTGTTTCCCTATCAGTATCATCATTTCCCTATCAGTGTCATTGTTTCCCTATCAGTGTCATCATTTCCCTATCAGTGTCATCGTTTCCCTATCAGTGTCATTGTTTCCCTATCAGTGTCATCATTTCCCTATCAGTGTCATTGTTTCCCTATCAGTGTCATCATTTCCCTATCAGTGTCATCATTTCCCTATCAGTGTCATCATTTCCCTATCAGTGTCATCATTTCCCTAATAGTGTCATTGTTTCCCTGTCAGTATCATTGTTTCCCTATCAGTGTCATCATTTCCCTATCAGTGTCATTGTTTCCCTATCAGTGTCATCATTTCCCTAATAGTGTCATTGTTTCCCTATCAGTGTCATTGTTCCCTATCAGTGTCATCATTTCCCTATCAGTGTCACTGTTTCCCTATCAGTGTCATCATTTCCCTAATAGTGTCATTGTTTCCCTATCAGTGTCATTGTTCCCTATCAGTGTCATCATTTCCCTATCAGTGTCATTGTTTCCCTATCAGTGTCATCATTTCCCTATCAGTGTCATCATTTCCCTATCAGTGTCATTGTTTCCCTATCAGTGTCATCCTTTCCCTATCAGTGTCATTGTTCCCTATCAGTGTCATCATTTCCCTATCAGTGTCGTCATTTCCCTAATAGTGACATTGTTTCCCTATCAAAGTCATCATTTCCCTATCAGTGTCATCATTTCCCCATCAGTGACATCATTTCCCTAACAGTGTCATCATTTCCCTATCAGTGTCATTGTTTCCCTATCAGTGTCATCATTTCCCTATCAGTGTCATTGTTTCCCTATCAGTGTCATTGTTTCCCTATTAGTGTCATTGTTTCCCTATTAGTGTCATCATTTCCCTATCAGTGTCATCATTTCCCTATCAGTGTCATCATTTCCCTATTAGTGTCATCATTTCCCTATCAGTGTCATTGTTTCCCTATCAGTGTCATCATTTCCCTATCAGTGTCATCATTTCCCTATCAGTGTCATTGTTTCCCTATCAGTGTCATCCTTTCCCTATCAGTGTCATTGTTCCCTATCAGTGTCATCATTTCCCTATCAGTGTCGTCATTTCCCTAATAGTGACATTGTTTCCCTATCAGTGTCATCATTTCCCTATCAGTGTCATCATTTCCCCATCAGTGACATCATTTCCCTAACAGTGTCATCATTTCCCTATCAGTGTCATTGTTTCCCTATCAGTGTCATCATTTCCCTATCAGTGTCATCATTTCCCTATCAGTGTCATTGTTTCCCTATTAGTGTCATTGTTTCCCTATTAGTGTCATCATTTCCCTATCAGTGTCATCATTTCCCTATCAGTGTCATCATTTCCCTATTAGTGTCATCATTTCCCTATCAGTGTCATTGTTTCCCTATCAGTGTCATCATTTCCCTATCAGTGTCATTGTTTCCCTAACAGTGTCATCATTTCCCTAACAGTGTCATTGTTTCCCTATCAGTGTCATTGTTTCCCTATCAGTGTCATCATTTCCCTATTAGTGTCATTGTTTCCCTAATAGTGTCATCATTTCCCTATCAGTGTCGTCATTTCCCTATCAGTGTCATCATTTCCCTATCAGTGTCATCATTTCCCTAACAGTGTCATCATTTCCCTATCAGTGTCATTGTTTCCCTATCAGTGTCATTGTTTCCCTATCAGTGTCATCATTTCCCTATCAGTGTCATCATTTCCCTATCAGTGTCATCATTTCCCTAACAGTGTTAATATCACGAGTGGAATCTGTTTCGGCAGATAATTGAGACTGATTCTTCTCTGGCTTTGACGTGTTAAGTATAAGGGTTAGCTTAATTTTGACTGAAGGAGAGCGCCATTTTGGTTTCTCTAAACAAGTTGGAGTTTTTAAAATGAAATGAGACATGTTTTAACCAATCGCCTTTCTCATGCTGCGATTTAGTATTGTTTTGTAATGTAGATAACCCATGCAATATGTTCATTTTAATTTTAAAAGAGGTAAAAATGTTCAGGGGAAACACTGTGAGAATTGAGCAAAACTATGGTAATGTTGAACATACAAGGAATTTGTTTATAATTGTAGATATGATAACCGATCGTGGAAATTGTTTCTGTATAACTGTTGGTAAAAATTATAAAGAAATGTTCCTTTTAATAGAGTGTACCAACGTCGTTTTTTTATGATTGAGGATTATTTGTGATTCTCTTTCTTTGTTGTATTTTATACAAGACCTTGCATGAAGTTGTTCATCTTCTGAGACAACACATGTTTCACAGAGACGTTGTCCCAGTGGGGTTGATCTTTTTGTATATCTACCAGTTTCAAATTTAGTTTGTGATTACTTAAGCGAGGTTTTGAGAAATGTGACCTATAAGCGTTGTTTTGACAATATGTAAGATAATTCGCAATATTTATAGATGACTTGACAAACCTGTATGACCTTAAGTTGTTGTTGGATAAATTGGAATCCCTTAATGAATGCGTGAACATATGTTTACATTTGGACTGAAGTTTATCTACTGAGGATTCATACATTTGTTTGTGTTTACTATTTCAAAAGTTTGTTTTATTTAACACAACCAACATTTTGACCAGAAAGATTTATATTTGCTGCTAAAGCATGTTTAAGAATGACATTTCTTATGTTATCTATATAGGACTTGTAATCAATTATTTTATATATTACTGGTACTACTAGTGGGTATATACCAAGTTCTGACTGACAGGCCCAGTTATATGTTTTCTTGCCTTGGATTTCCTTGTGCTTGAACATTTAAAGATACTGTTTCTTTTATTGTGAATTCCAAAGATACTGTATAGTGCAATCATTTCAATACTTTTATTTAAAAGAGTGCAAAAAAATTCAAATTTCATTTGTCTTAAATACCTTATTGGTTTAATATGTTTCCAAGTGCACTGAAATTCTATGCCCTTTGTCTGTTTAATATATTCAGCAAACATTCGGCGTATCCCCTCTTGTCATAAGCCCCTCCGGGCAGGACCCTTAATCTCTATCGCTATCTATAAATTTCAATTAACACCTCCTTACGTCGCCGGATCTTACGTATATACATACGGTACCATACATACACGTGGGACAATGACCTAGCCACATGTTACGTAATACCTCGCTCTACAAAACCCGACTGACATGTTCAGTCAGGGAGACAGCCAGAAGATCGACTCGTGTAAGTGACAGAGCGAACACCCACCCAGGAACACTGGCCACTCTGTCCCGGGGTCTGTCAAGTTATAACCACCTTTTCGACCAATTCCACCCATCGTCAATAAACATGGCTGCTGTCGTCTAAACTTCACCCCTGAGTTTTGTCTTCCGTCTCCACCCTGAGCTACCATTCGAGGGCCAGAAACTACATTAATAACAACCAATTTGTAACTTCTGTGACAGGCATTTAGAAGTTGGAGTACTAAGTAAGGATAAGTATTTATGGATGAACAACTTCTTTATTACAATTAAGGGCGATGTTTCGGTGTAGGTTCTGCTTGCTTGATAACGGTGTTAGAACCTACCCCGAAACGTCGCTCTTAAATGTAATAAAGAAGTTGTTCATCCATAAAATCTTATCCTTACTTAACCAAATTGTACTTTACACCAATCCTCTCCTCTCATTGCTTACACTTCCTTTCTGTGCATATGACAATATATGGCAGGGAACAATTGATGCTCTGCACAATCTCTACTTGTATTACTTGAACAGGGTCGATGTTTCAGCTGGTAGACTGCAGTCAACGAGTTTCAACATAAGTTTAGTAGCATTTAACGATTATGCTGATTCACGTATACAAGAATGGTTTGGGCCTCGATATACGCTCCTGGGATACGCTGACGTGCATCAACGTAGTCATCGAACCTGACTGCCCGATCCCGTTAGTCACCCCTTACAAGCATGGGTTGCAGGGATTTTATCGAGAAAAGTACATTTTTCCCCCGAAAATGCTTGAAAAACAGTTATATGCCGCAGACTGAAAAAAATCAAATTGTCTGCCACAAATAAACCATCGTTCAAAGGTGCTTTTAAATAAAATGTAGGCTCATATTTTAAAAAGGAATATTTGGTATTGCAGGTGTAGCTGAACAGATATATAGTCTTCCAAACAAAACCCCAGGTCCCAGCCGAATATCAAATAATTATTCTTTATTTTTAATGACATATTGTCTCTTGTAAGTCGTCTAGCGACTGGTTGTAGGACTTTATGTTTATACTTCTTTTGATATATTATATCTTATATTATATAAGTGTATTCTACGAGTGAAACAAATTAAACTTGTCTGTCCATACGCTTTATCTAAAATCAAATCAGGCTTGTAACTCACAAAGAATCTATTTATAGCGTTTTCAGGGTTAACGGATTTGAAAAAGCAGTTTCATGGGACAATCACCCTTGGCCCCCATTCTATTGTTGGGCACACGAGGAGGTTTAATCGGGCAGGTTTACGATAACAAGTCTTTGAAAGGCATGTAGAAGTGATACACGATAGACCCTTAAATATTCCCTCACTTTGCCAATTGGTTGATATTTATGAGATTGTTTGTCACTATATTGTTATCCTTGTACAACATCACACTTTGTGTTGTGTAAACATATGATACATATTGAAACACTAATATATATACTCTAACTCTATACACTCAGCATTCACCTGATGAGGAAGCAAGAAGTAGCTCTGAAACGTCGTGACAAAGAATGAAAGAAGTTGCTATCCATTTAGAGTGTCATGTATTCCTTATTAATGATCTTCCAACTTCTAAATGCCCGTCAAAGACTTCGGCGTTAATATGTTCACATTTGGCGGCCAAATGATACGAAAATTCCAATTGTTTTTCATATGGACCTCGGGTTACACGTTCATTTACTAGCATCAATAAATTTTGGAAATACTGTTCCTTCATGTGGTTTAAAGTGAAACTGCACGTCTACATGCTTCAGCCAGGGTGGAAAGAAAAAAATAATGAGAACGTCCTAGATGTACCCATCCAAACAAAACCGGCCGAAAATGCATTCGTGTAAAATATATATCGTCAACGCCAGAAAAAAAGCCAGTCTCGATAACGAAACAGATTCTACTGGTGAGTGAGTGAGTTTAACATATTTATTTTCACAAAAATGTGAAAATGGATTGGTAAACAAGGGAAGCCCTTATGTTAATACCGCTCCATTACACAGAAGACATGATACAATAAATACATCAAATAAGGTTAGATGTAACACAGGAATTGTACATGCATGAATATATAATAGATACATTTGCAGTTCACATTGAACAATCCTCTTACTTCTGCCAGAAAATCTGCCAGTTTTTAATGTGAGGTTTTGAATAGAATCTAATGTTTGGATTTGCACTTCCTCACTCAAATGCGAATTTCCGCACACTGTTTGTAAAGAGTAGCCGTGATGGTAAAAATACATTACATTTCGGAGAACAAAGTAATTTGTATACACAAAAGAAGTGTAAAGCATCTTCGGTATGATATCCACAGGAACAAGTTTTAGTATCCAAAATATATCTATCATATTGATCTGCGTAAAGATCGCTGCAGCCAAGCCTGAGGCGACTGTGAATAACTTGTCTCCATAATTTAAATCTCAGTGTAGACCATTATCTCCCCTTACATGAAGCAAATTCTTAAACTGTGTAACGGTCTCTGTCCCCGTTAGGTTTTCTGGTAACATATTCCAAAGTTGTGTTGTAGCCGGTATAAATGAATCTGCATAAGCTTTTGTTTTACACTTCACTGTTTGAAGATTAGTTTTACCCCCCTAAGTCATAATTTGTGTTTTCCGAAACTGTATTAGGAATAAGCCTACACGGATATTCCAGGGAGAAATAATTATTCATTTAGTAAAACATTACCAATTTCTCGTACAATTTGTTTCATTGTAAATCTTCTGATGACTCGTACCCCGGACAACGCCACATATGGTTCTAAGAGCATCTAAGTTTATTTTTTCAAGTAAGTTAATTTGTTCATTACTTCAGTTATCCCAAATATGACGACAGTAATCCAAAATTGGTAAAATAAATGATTTTAAGGTAGTTCGGGATAGGTAGTTCGGGATAGACGATATATATTACTTCTTAAACAATTAACCAGGGGACAATATTTCCTTTGAATATCATCAATGTGCATTTTCTATGTACAGATACTTTGTAAACTAATACCTTGGTGCTTATCAGTTTGTACATCTTTTATTTCTGTGCCATTCATATATGAGTTCAGTTTGGGGCTAGGGTTTACTATACGGGTAAATTAAATAGATTCGGTTTTATCGGGACTAAATTTAACTTGCCATCTAGCAGCCCATTCTTAAATTCTGTCAAAGTCATTACGAGCAGCTATATCGGGATCTTCTATGATCCCATACAAAGATGTGCCATCAGCAGATAGTCTTATATTACTATTTATTCCTTCAACAATGTCATTGATATAGATAATAAACAATAATGGTCTCAGAGTAAAATAAATGATTTGTGCATAGTTTCTAAGGTAGTTCGGGAAAGACGATACCAAAAACTTCTGGAACAATTAACCAGAGGACAACATTTCCTTTCAGTATCATCAATGAATTTTCCATGTACAATTACTTTGTAAAGTAAAACCTAGGTGCTTACTTGCTGGGAATTCCCTGTGAACGGCCTCGAGGAGACTTCAGTAACACGGGTGTCGGCCTGTTGTCCTATACCCAGAGGAAGACATGTCCGTACGTCTGACTGCACTCAGCACACATCGGGTTCCACCCTTATATCGAGATATCAGAGCATAATTTGTCAGTGCGAATGGAGGGTACTAGCAGTGTTTGAATGCTTCCCGTGAAGATGCTCCTTGACCGTTGTCCCTATCAGCTGAAGTGCTGGTCAAACGAACGGACGCACTCGCGAAATGCTAGATGATACTCAGGGTAACATAACATGCATATCAGCGATAACGCTACTCGCAACATGCATGTACTGGACCATTCTACAGTCTCCATACACAACAAAGAGAAATCACACAGCAATTTATAAATAATTTAATTCTGGCAGACTAATCAAACATCACATTAGACACAAAAAGAGCAAGTATCAGTGATTACATTTACTTCATGTTGAAATATTCTCTCATGTCTCAACAAGATCAATTAAATTTGTCAGTGAACAGAATCCACTGCAATGCATTTGATGCACGAACTTCACATATTGCCGATATGGCACACACAATTAAGTTTCAAATATGTGGCACATTTGTTCACAACCAGAAGGGAACTTACCACTTTGTCTTGATCTACAGTAAACTACGGTTATAACGAACTCAGAGGGACACTAATTTTAATTCGTTATAACCGTAGTACGTTATATGTACAACATCTATACAGAAAATGGACGGCATCAAGAAACAGTTCGGTATAAGCGTGTTCGTTATGAATGTAGTTTACTGAAGTTTGCAGTGACAAATAGCCAAGCTACAATGACATAACATCAGCCTTCACTTGGGCTTTCCAAGGCTTAAATCTAAACAATGTATAAATGTGTAATTAGTGAATAAAGGGTCAGTGTTAATAACTGGCAATCTCTTGTTACATGGCAGTGTATTTTATTGTCGAACAATGATTGTAACTGTGTTTATATTGTTTCTGTTGAGAACCGGTAGACGCTCATTGCATTGTGTTTGGGCAGTGATTAGTCGTCGGGAATAAGTGCCATTTAATCTTAGCAGTCGTCAGGAAGTAAGTATATTTAGAGACCAGTGTGGTGTGTTAACTTCCGGTATACCGCGGGGTGGTATCGAATATTCTGTTGTTTTTTGGAGTGAGTGAGTGAGTTGGGTTTAACGCCGCTTTTAACAGTATTCCAGTCATATCGCGGCGTGTCTGCTTAATGTGGGAGGAAAGCCCGAAGTGATGCAGGTTTCAGACGTTTATCACTTCGGTGAAACCCACGAGCACGGGTATGATGCTGACAAACCTAGAAACATAATCGGGGCGAACCGGGATTCGAACCCACAATCATAGGTTTCTGGCGTGCCCAAGTGAGCAACTCTGCACAGCGAATCGCGTGCCCCCTTGTTTTTTGGAAGTGAGTCGGACTGTATATAAGGGGAGAGTAGCGTGTGTGTCCGCATCTCCCGCACAATTAGTACGACAGGCATTTAGATCACATCACATTAAGTTATTTTACGTAGATTCCTGGATTAACATATTGTTTCAATTTGGGAATCGACACGTAGCACTATACACAAGTTACATAATATTTATAAACGGATGAACAGTAAGTATGTTTAATACATTCGTCATGAAAAGTAAATATATTTATAGATATCATGGATTCTCATACCAGTCTATATTAAATATGCTTACTTTTCATCCTTGTTGATAGATTATGTTTTGTGTACAAGTTAAGACGCTCAGTGCATTCATATTTTGCGATGTTGAATTGATTTTCATTCGAACATATTTGGAACTTATGTTATACATGATGATGGATGATGATCATGGTTATCATAATGAGACTTAAAGAAGCACAGTACCCAACCGTCGCGTTGTCCCAAATATTGCCGATGCGAAATAAATATATTTTCTTTGAGTTAGTGAGTTGAATTTAATGCCGCTTTGAAGAATATTCCAGTTATATCACAACGTGTCAGCTTAATGTGAGAGGAAAGCCTGAAGTGATGCAGGTCTCAGACGTTTACCGTTTCGGTGAAACCGACGAGCACGGGTATGGTGCTGACAAACCTAGAAACATAATCGGGGACGCTACTCTGCACAGGGTGTTGCAGTGCCTAGGGCCTCAGTCACACTTTCAGGATTTTTACTGGTCCTTGATAGGACCATTCCCGATTAAAATTTGTCTAAGGTCTGATCAAGATCCTGTGATTCGTGGCGGGAAATTCACAAACAATCAGATATGGTTCAGGAAGAGTCCCGAATTCGTACCGATTCTCAATCCGACCCGAATTGTATCTTCCGCATGGTCAAAAACGACCGAATCTGTCCCGACAGCGTCCCGATTCTCCCGATGCGATCCGACAGAGATCAGACAGTGACCGGACAGTGAACCGCCATTCGGCAAGATCTGGACGCAATCTGACTCAAGCGACAAGAAACGGCAATGAACAATTCATACCCGTTCATCACGACAGCGCCCCGCTCACAGGAGGTAGTCTGGACAACACAGGACATTGTTACGATTTTGATCCGATTCAGCAGAATCTGTCACGACATAGTCACGATTGTATTCCGACTAGACAAAATCGTTTCCCGAATATTACGGGACGCAACATACTGTCGGGAGTGCTTGGCCGACCTCTCGGAACCTTTCCCGATCCGTAGGACTCTGTTACGAATGTATACGACTGCGTTTAGACGATGATAGGACATTCCAGATCATTGTGGATAGTAATCCGACTTTTTCTCTTTCCGTGTCGTAGCACTGTCTGATCTGAATTCGGAGCCATAGTCGGCACTGTGTAAACCTGGCCTTAGACGACTGAGCCACCAACAATCTAGGAAAATGTGTATTTTTTTCTTATTTTAACTGTATAGAATATGCTTTGAAATACGTAACAAAAATCATTCGTACTTAACTGGCAATAATTATTTTCCATTTACTATATACATATTGATTGACTATTTTATGTGGTGATACTGTATCTACTTATTCTACACTGAAATAACACAGAAAACTCTGGGAATGTATGGCTAGGTGACAAGCACGTGGCACATGAGTGTATACACCATTGATGGTCATGCGTTAGTATTAGTAGTGGTCGTGGCAGAAGATTAATGGTAAAAAAATCTATTTTTTCCATATAACATCATATGGCCAAGTTTTAAATAGCTTCGGGTCGAGCTTTTCGCCCCCAATACGTGGCTCGTAGGCAGAATAATTTAAACTTAATAATAAATCTACCAGTCTGTTTCCATTGACATCTGATTTCATAAGCACCCATTCCATAAGAATTGCTGGAACATCTATCTCCTTGAAAAACCTCTTGGCACCTGAGATAACATAGTATTCGTACTCTTGTATGTCCATTTTTATAACTGCCTTCTTGAAAGGCAGATAGGGCAAGATGTCGTCAAGAGTTATTGTATACGAGTCTGCTGATTCCTCGCACGGTGATGCAGGGGACGAACCCGACGACGCCACAACGTTTGTACCGCCAACGTTGTCCACTTCCCGTTTGAAATTGACAAGGCTATTGTTTGCCCCGAGAGGGTTGAATATGATGGTCATCCTGTCTGTGAAGCCACTCTTCTGAATGGACTTACACAGTCGCTGGACATTCTCTATGAGCGGATCCACAGATACCACCTTCCTCCCGAACTTGGCCACAGACAGGGAGTAGGCGCCAACATGAGATCCTAGATCCATGAAGCCAAGCTCAGGGTCCTTGTTCAATTCTGAGCCAATAAGATCTATATTTTCTGGTTCCCATGTCCCAACCTCCTTTAAAGTTTTGGACACAAACCTGTCGACCACGACGTCGTGTATATGTATCGGTATCGCGCCCGACGACGTCCTCAGAGGAACGCAGTCCAGGTGAACGGTCCACGTACAGAACTCGTGGAGTTTCTGCATCTGACTACCGTTGAATCTGTACACCTGCGTCTTGCCAGAACTTGAGCGGGGCTGGGCCCAGTCAATTTTCTCCCACGTCTTTCTAGGACTGGACGTAGTATCACCTCCCATCATACTCGTGAAAGGCGGCAGCACAACGTGTTCTAGGATCAGCAGGATGCACGCGCCAGTGAGCATCATAAGGACAAAAGGCTTCCGGCGCTGCATCGTCATCATTGGTTGAGGCTGACTTGATCTGTCGTTACAGCTGATGCCTGTAAAGTAGACAACACCAGAATGAGACATAGACACAGTGAAACGTACCGTTTTCAGTGAAGTAAGAAAAAGCAAAGACAATTATAATAATAAATTTCAATAAAAAAAATAAAAAATAATATTGGACCATAAAGATGGTCGTTCAAAGGTATTACGTTACACAGTTTGAAGGACAGGCTTATATTATGGTGAGTGAGTGAGTGAGTGAGTGAGTGAGTGGCACAATATCGATGGTTCGTAGGATCTCCTATCTTGTCAATCAGTTTATTCAGTACTTAAAATGCCACAGGTCTATAGTACAATGCGTATTTACATGTAGGTGACGTGGTTGTTAACTAACAATTCTGTTTCTATGTGACATAGCGTGATAAACATATGTTGACAGGTTACATAACATAGTATCATTAGATGAAGTTAAAAGATCTACAAACTTATGAACATTCGGGTTTACAGAGTAGAAAGATGGCAAATATTCATCACGTAAATGTTTGTAAGCTTGACATACCAGGAGAAAGTGAAACTCATCTTCAATTGAATTTGTGTTACACAACGTGCATATTCTGTCTCTTCTATCAGTGTGATTATATCTACCAGTCTCTATATACAGGTTGTGAGAGGAACATCTAAATCGTGCTAAATTTTTTAAACTCAAGTTTACAGAGGTACGCCTCAATTTCAATATTACTTTTCATGATTCTATAATATAAACATTTATTTGATTTGGACATTAAGTCTAGCTATTTCTGCAAATACATATCTTTTAGTCTCTGGGTGAAGGACATTAAAAAGAGCGGTTCTAATTCTACACACTGATTACACCACACATAATTAAAACCCGTGATAAATCATAATTCTTTTACGTTCGTTACCCAATTTCGTTTTCCAGTACTGTCGTAGAGTTATAACATATCATAGCACTTCCTGGGGTTTCTATCATTATTCATGTTTATCAAGCGAAGCCAGTATTTAATAACTTTTAAGTAGGATTGAATATACAGCGGATATCGTCCCGTTTCTCCATATACCATTATGCTGGACGTACTATTTTTAACTCCTAAATATTTCTTGCACACAAACAAATGTACTTTTTCAATTTGATCATGAATTTTTATACCCCAGATTTCAGCACCATAGTGTAGTATTGGAATTATCTTTTAAATTTTAAAATATGGTCTAAATGAGATGACTCTTAGAAATGGAGACTGTCTTAATATACCAGTCAAAACCATTCTAGCTTGTATAGCAGCTTGACTGACGTGAAAAGACCATGAAAGTTGATTTGTGAAATAAACACCCAGATATTTATAGGAAGATGTGGTTTCCAAAATTTCTCCATTGTGAAACCATTTTTCATTTGATGCTAGTTTTCCCCCATTTTTAAAGACTATAACTTTTGTTTTTTTCTGTATTTACAACTTAGTTTTATTCTTTACAGAATTTTTCAAGTTCATTAATTTGCCTTTGCAAACCAATCACTTTCGTGGAGCAATGTATGACATCATCTGCGAACAGCAACAGAAATAATTCCGTAAGATCTGGATGTAACTGTATACCATGGGAGCAAGTTTCTTGTATTTGAGTAGCTAATTCATTAATGAAAAAAGAAAATAGAAACGGACTCATTATACAGCTTTGTCTAACACCTAAATCAATAGTAAAACTTTCTGACAGTTCGTTATTATTTCTTACGCAGGCTTTAACATTGGTGTATATACTTCTCAAAAGATTACTCATTTTCAAGCTAATCCCGTGCGATTCTAACAGTGTCCATAGTTTTGTTCTATCTACTCTGTCAAACGCCTTTTAAAAATCAACGAAAAGTGCATAACATTTTCCACCTCTTTTACTAAGACATTTCTCTATTAGACTCTGTAGTGTAAAAATATTATCGATGGTAGAATATCCCTGTCGAAAACCAGCTTGTGCTTCACTAATTTTCCCATTATATCTGCCCAATTCTGTAATCTTTTATTTATAATGTATATGAACAATTTACTAAAGATGCTTAAAAGTGTTATACCTCGGTAGTTAATGGTATTGTTAATATCACCATGTTTATGGATGGGGACAATTATGCCAACCGTCCATGATTCGGGGAAATTCCCACTCTGTAGAATATGATAAAAAACAAGTGATAAATATGGTATTATGATATCTGCACAGTGTTTGAATAATTCCGGTAGCATTTTGTAAATTCCAGGCGATTTATTGTTTTTTCAAATTATCTATGCTATTCATTATTTCCTGAAAAGAAATTGGAGAATCTAAAATGTCAGTTACGACATCATCAGTTTCACGATTTCGGTCACACTCTGTAGTATGTACATGGTCTATACCCATATCATTACTATTTGATTCGAAAAGAGTTTTAAAGTGAGAAACCCATTCTCCTGAGCTGATATCATTGCCTTGGGAATATTTTCCTCTAAGTTTTCTTAATATTGACCAGAACTGGGTTGAGTCATCTATACTGTTTGCTAAGAGTATCCTTTATTTTGGGAAGTAGTTATTTCGGTTTTTGTCTACAAATGGCATTGTACTTATTTCTTGCTGCATTATAAAGTTGTAATGAATCCCTGTCTTTAAGTTGTCTAAACTTATTTAGGTACTTACACCTCTGTCGTTTCAATTCGATATAATCGATACTCTTATTAATATTGACGGACACTTCTTCCTGTGACATGTTTAGCACAGTCTGTGCCTCATCTGTAAGTTAATTTACTCTGACAGTTTCACAGTGCTGAACATCCCAAACAAACTTAGAATCAGGAACGCTATCACTACGAGAACTATTGTTGCTACATGGGTGAGGATGAAGCGTCCGTAAAGTCACAGAAACTGGAAGATGTGGAGAGTCAGCACGTGATGAAATCTCGAAAGATGATGCAATTACATAGTCCACAAGACTGGCACAGAGTGATCCAATAAATGTGTAATCTCCACGTCCTGAGTCTGATCCACATCTCCCATTCATGATATGTACGTTGAAAATTGAACACAAATCTAGTAAAGATTTACCAAAGGCATTAATGTTCTTATCCACAGAGTAACGTGTTTCTTTAAAATAATCTAGTATGAAGTCGTAACGCGACTGGCAAGGCTTTTCTGTTTGTTCAACTATGACATCTTCAATAAAGTCAGCCTTTGTTCCTGTGCGGGCATTAAAGTCTCCGCCACAGAGAATATACATGTAATTTTCAGATGTTAAAATATTATACAGATTCTCGTGAAATATATCGATTCCATTTTCACAATCTGCTGACATCTTAGTGTAACATGTGGAACCTTCTGGATGGATGTAAGCACATGCATATAAGAAATTGTGATAAAACCAAACATAGACCTGTCAAATACAAAGAAAATAGCATTTTCTGTTATCTTAATAGAGATGAGATACTTAAAAGACATCCTTTTAATCAAAATTGTAATTCCACCGGGGAGTCTTCCATGGTCTGCTAATTTGTCTGCACATTTGTACACATACTCATATTCAGTAAATATTTCTGATAAATCATGGTCAGTGACCCAAATTCTGTGGGGCCAATTATATCATACTGATGTAGGTCATTGTCCATTAACCTATATACAAGTCCTGAAACGTTCCAAAAATTGAAACTAACACTGGCTGTGTCATCACAGTCCTGGTGACTTTCAGTCACTGTGAAGTGTCGTAAAATTTACCTGGACACCATTCACACCTTTGCCCTTGCCCTACCCCTATTCAGTCTGGCCACACCCCTATTCAGTCTGGCCCCACCCCGGAGCTAGCCGGTCGTGAGTGTGATCTCAGTTGTGTCCCGGTACCTCGGGGGGATTTCCGGGGCACTCGCTGCTGACTGGGTGCTGAGATCTCCTATCATCACGATATTATAGAGATTCCTAATCATTTATTCATGATATAATCGGATTCGCACAATGGACTCGGCAGAGATATCTTATGAATGTGGAAATGTTTTGTCGCAGTTATTTATTTGAACAGCTCGAAGTAATGATCGCTTTAAACGTTTACCGCTTTTGTGAAAGCCACGAGCAAAGGAATCGTGCTGGCACAACCCGACACGTCGTCACGGGGATCCCAACAAGCTATTACAGGTTTCTAGCACGCCTATTTCTAATAAGAAACATATTCAATACCACACCCATTTTCCAATAATGCAACATACGATATGTGTGTCTGTGCTAGATGTATATATGTCTGTGCATGTTTTTGACAACCTGGTACAAAGAACACTACTAATTGCACCCTTAAGTACTTCTCCTATATACATGCGTGTATGTGTATGTGTGTGTGTATATATATATAGTAGTGTTCTTTGTACCAGGTTGTCAAAAACATGCACAGACATACATACATACAGTGTGTGTGTGTGTGGATGTAATAACGCTAAGAAATGAAACCTTTATGTGTCTGTATTTTGGGCCATTGGCCTCCATACTGAATATATTGTCTTGTCTTGTCTTGTCTTGTTTTGTCCTATTGGATGCGTAAAGATAATATCTATGAAATGAATACCCTGGCAAATATTTTGCGATAATCATAACTTCAGATGTCAATCCTGGCTTCAAATAGAGAGGATTTAGGTTGATGAACTCAGTATGCTAACACCAAGTGCAGTCTGGACATAGTCGGGTCAGGACCACTCATACCAGTATTAGATATCCGATAACGTCCTAGGGAGCTCCGTCAGGGTTCGAGGACATGCAACAAACCAAGCCACCGAGCGTCACCATACGGCCCAAATTGTCGCCTGTCACGACCCTATTGTCGCCTGTGAACAACAGACTGTATTTCAAAACCCGTGCAATGTGTGCTACAGATTAGTTCACCAGTGCCGTAGCCGGGGTGGGGTGGGGTCGGGGGTCAGTTGCCCCCCCTGGATATTTTATGGAAAACATTTTTCCTTGTGAAAGTTAACTTGATTAAGAAATTAATAATCTTAAATCTTAGTCAAATAAAGTTAACTACGACCTTGTTCACATGCACCTATCGAGCCCAAAA